ATTATTTCTCCAACCCAGGTCTGCACTTAGTCTTCCAAGCTGCTTGATGATCAGTTTTCCCTGCACAGACAGTACACAAACACAGAAGAACAAACACAGCAGAATCCGAAAACTAGAATGAGAAGACACACCACGATTTTTACGTGGTTTCCAGTATTGGGAGAATAAGAATCCCAATACTGACTACTCCACGGTCGGAGAATCACGATTGTGTGATCTCCGACGATTCACTATGATTTTGCGTTGAAGTTCGTCGTTACAAGCTAACTACCCGAGAACCCTTTGATCAATCTCAACCCGATTGATCAAACTCTCTCTTCTCAAACCCGAATTGCTTCCCCAGCAACTCGAAACCAGTGTTTCCCCAACACTGACCCTCAAAGCAATTCTCCCCGAACCCTTTGAGAAAAACCCCCTTTCCTATCAACTTTGCTACTCTCACAAAATCCCCTTTTGTCTTAGCTAGCCTTGTTGATCTCTTGAAAGGTTACCATTGGTGGTTCTTCATGTCGCCTTTTATAGGGAGGAATATGACCGTTAGTCATTCAAATTCCTTCCCTATTTGTGATGATTTGATTGAGAACTCAATCCTCTAATTTGATTTGTAGTGAGTTGGTCATTGGAGCCTCATTGTGCACTGTTGTATCCAATCTTCTTGATCTGATTTCTTCTCTAATTTTTCAGCCGTTAGAACCTTCCTTCTTTGTGTTGATTTGCTAGGTGGCAAATCAGCATCTTTGAGCATAGATAGCCATTGAGAAGTTCTTTCCTTTATTGTTCTTGCTGATTGCAGAATCTCTCCTCCTTTATGCTGTCTTTGATTTTCTTTCCTTTACTTACAAGATTGCAACATTTTCCTTCTTTGATTGAGGCCATTGATATGCTTGACTCAACAGATAGGCAATGGGAATTTTGCTATCCTTTATTCGGAATTTGGACTCCACCACGGTATATAAACAAACCAAATATAGAGCCCAATTGACACTAGTGCTTTATACGGAATATATTGCATTGTCATGGTTACTTAGTAGTGCTGGGAAAATAGACCAGACCGTTAGAAAAACCGTGGTTCAAACCGTACCGCACAGTTTGGTCCAGACCGTAGACCGTTAAGTATGGTCTGGTCTGGTCCATGGTCTGTACTATTTTATGTTTTGATCTCTTCTGATCTGGTCTAGACCGTGGTTTACCGGACCAAACCGTGGACCCAACTGACTTGTAAATACGTGTTAACAGCCCATTCGATCACTCTCCCAACTCCCACAACGACACTCAAGTCTCAACCTTAGTTTTGTGAATCTCGTCCCTCCTTAATTCACAACCACATTTAACTAGAGAGTAGAGATAATCGTGTCTCCATATGACATTATGTTAATGTTTATGACGTTATGGTGCAAGTTGGGATGCTTTTACTTTGTATCTTTGGTATGTACTAAGATTTAGAGTATCAAAATTATTCATGCATGTTAGGATTAATGATTTAAGGTAAATAACAATTATTTTTCCTGGTTATTAGTTCAAATTTTTGTGTGGTTGACTAAACAAATTATTCATTTTTCGTTGAGTGTGGTCTATCTGGACCAGACCAGACCGAACCAGACCGCACAGGCGTGGTCTGGTCCGAACCGTATATTATGTGGTCTGGTCTGTGGTCTATACTTTAGCCTCTTGATCTGGACCATAGACCGTATAGATGGTCTGGACCAGACCGCACCATTTTCCAGCCCTAGTCCTTAGGGATCTCCGGACAATATATTGTGTTGTACGTGAGGACAATACTCGTTGGCAGGTTGTTATGCACGACGACAATTGTAGCAAGGCATGCAGATGCTGTTTTCATGATTTTCCGTGGAGCCGACACAGATCTTATGATGATCATCATTAGCTGGCTCCGCCACTGGCGGTGACTGGTGGAGGATAGGGCTGTAAGGTGACGACACTCGTTGGCCGGAGCGGAGAAACACGTATCTCCTTTGGCAGCAAACAAACCTGCCTACATGCTGCGTATTATCATATATGTAACCCAAGAGACGAGAACATCATTTGATCGATGTTTGTGTTTCATTCATCTATGTTCCTAGGCACGTTGCTAGGATATCCTCCATTCAGGTGTATTACACAAAAGTCTAGAATTAAATTTTGATCGTCAAGTTATATATTTTAATCTTTGGTATTTGTTTAAGACGATGAATATATAGTTTAAAATTATAACTAATCCATGCCATTTACTAATAAATTTTTCCTTATAATATGATGATTATTATTATTATTATGAGATGAATTTCTGAAAGTCTACTGAGTTAGTTTTAGAAATTCCTTAAAATAAAAGTTCATTCATGTTTTTTATTGTTCATTATTATACAATTGAAGACATCAACCATTTTAGGATGAATCTGGTGATTAAAAACAAGAATCATGAAATAAGATGTATAAAACATACACCCAAAATGGAGAGCTTAACTTGATTTGGGTTCAGTTTCTGTACGTATTATCATGGCACTGTTATAACAAATATACGTACGTGAATTATTGATGAAATACGACGGAGACAACAATATTTTATTAATTGTTGGAGAGTATTATTAATTGGCGGCCATATTAATTTGATAATACTCGTTTCCTTGAGGGGGGTATTTCAAACTATTCTATCGGTTTGAGATCCCTAGTCTTGACATGGATCTCAAATCTATAGATCTGTACGGTCTCTCTAGTTTCTCTTGGGAGAACTAACGGGATGACAATGTGTAATCGTAAAGTCTCTTTGATAATTGCGTGCAAATAGGTTAGTTCATTGAGTCGATCTTCATCAACATTTCCCTTGCTTTGGAAGACTCGACTCACCTCTTCCTTCGCTTGTTGTAACCTCTGACATGGTATATTTTATTGCGCTCGCCGCTCGTTGATGTTTCAACTCCACCAAGAAACATATTCTAGTATACAAACAAGGAAGTTATAATTCATATCGATAGTAACACTAAGTAAAAGATTATAAAATTCTACTCTAAAAAAAATCAATTTTAACTTTTTATACAACTTTACAAAACAGTTTCTCTAGAACAAAAATTGATAATTCATTATTGGTCAAATGTTAGGAAGAAGTCAAAGGTGATAATTCATTGTTGCTTAAATTTCAAAGCAATAATTATGAATGAAATAATTGATTAATAATACTGACAAGAACGACGGCTTTGATGTCGTCGGTTGCCTAAGGCCCTAAGGGATGCCGAGGTCCCAAGTCTCTTGAAGGTTGAGCAGAATGTTCTCCGCTTCATCATCTAGACGCCGTCGTTTTTCGATATCCCTTCTCCTCCGGACTCCATGCTGTTCTCCGAGGACTCCTTCCAAATCCATTAAGTGCCCTTAGACCATCCACATTCATGAAATACCATTTCTATTCCATATATGGGCCCTACTATCACATCATCAGTTTTTTCCATTTCACTACATATCACTTCCATTTTTTCTACATCAATGAATTCCACTATCTATTTCATATGGTGGGTCCACCTTACTTTTTAATACATCTATACATTTATATCTAACCTATATGATTTTACTAATTTAATATGTATCAAATATTTAATTATCAATGATGAAATAAATTTACTAATTCATTAAAAATATATTATAGCTTTATTCATTGATTAAAAAATAAATTATGTAATTTAAAATGGGTAGACTTTAATAAAAATACATGAAACTTTTATTAAAGTCACAAGTACAATATTCAAATGACAAATTACAACACAATCACAATTCAAATAAACACGTACATAACATAATTACTATTGCAAATAAACACACTTAATACAAATACATAGAAATGATGCTAGATTAATCATTGTACTCCGCATCTCCGAATCGATTCCATATCTCTTCTATCAAATCGGATTGAAGTTGATTATTTGTTGACCTATTACGAATCCTTGTGTGGTTCAGAAGATACTTATCATACTCCGGGAGATGATTTTGAGAAACTGTAGGCATCAAGACATCAAAGTTCACGTCCTCGTCTGTGTAATCAAACTGACGAATATATGTATCTCTATATAAGCGTACGTGAACTTTTTTTCCGGTATAACACTTTCAAAGTACAAGCATGTTATTCTTAGCATAAGTAACGAATTCAGATTCTTGTTCCAGCATGGTCACACTACAAAAAAGAGGAGATTTGGGGACGACAAAAGTTGTCCCCGGAAATAGCAAAAATCGTCCCTATAGTTTTTGGGGACGACCAAGTCGTCCCCAATGTGTGGTTCCCTATACTCTTGTCCTCTATTCTTTTGGGGACGACAAAAATCTAGGTCGTCCCCATTACTAGGGACGACAGTCGTCCCCCATAATAACAGGTCGTTGTCTGGTTTCTTTTCTATCAAAGACAACATGTCGTCCCTATAGCTAAGACTTTAGGGACAATAAGTCGTCCCCTATACATCAATCGCAGGGACAGACTGTAGTCCCACTACAGGAAAACAGATTTTTAGACACGGGATCTTATTCACGGTAACTCTTCCCGTACTCAGAAGTATACTAGTAGTCACGGTAAAAATTCCAGTAATTATTGCTATAGATCTAAACACGGGAATTTATTTATCCATTTTTAGTCTTTATTTACCGTGACAACTTGTTAGTTTGTTTTATTGAATCTGACAAATTGTTTGTTACGGTTAATTACTGTGAACAATGTGATAATTTAGTTTGAAATTTTTTTATCAAAATTTAAGAGGGAGAATTTGGTTTGGCTCCAAAATTCCTACCCTCCAAAACTTCCCAAAAACAAAATTTCATTTGGGCTCCAAAAAGTAACCAACGAAATTATCCCGCCGACCCTCTTTTCACTAATTTTTGTTTTTAGCCTTCGCAGTTTTGAGGTGGAGGCTGGCGCCTGCCGGGGTGCAAATAGCGTTTTTTTGTCCCTCTTTCCTCGACCTGATTCCCATCGTAAAACAAGCAAAAGCGGAAGTTGACATAAACGAACAACAGAGACATGAATCTCTTTTTTCTTCTTCTTCTCCTCTATAAACGAACAACACAGGCAAAGACTTAAATCCCTTCTTCCGGTTCCCCAAATCTGCATCGCTTCACCCAAATCCCTCCCCTCTCACCAAAAATCATATTCCCCTTCCATACTTTATTCATCTTCAATCAACTTCTTCCTCTCTTCCTCGACTCCATGGTTGAAAAATCACCTTTATGGTTGCTATCCATGGCCCATGGGGGTTATTTTGGAACAGATTGAGGCAGAGCATGGCGCGGTTCGAGACGAGGCCAAGGGAAAGGTGCACGAGGAACCTAGATCTGTCTTCGAAGGCAGAGTTGTAAGAAAGTTTCGGGGGGTCGACTCTTGGCACAACTTGTGGCGTAAGTCGCAGGGGAGCTCGAGACGGACGAAGCTAGAGGTTCCTGACCGGCAAGGCTAGCTACCTAGAAAGGATCCTATCCCCATCAATTTCGTCACTTTTTTCAGATGAGGGGGCAGAAAGGCGATCGCTAGGTTTATGGATATTAGATTTGGGATTTGGGGGTTCTGATTTTTTAGGGGTTTTGGGATTTGGGATGGGTTCTAGAGATGGGATTTGGGATGGGTTTGTGGAGATGGGATTTGGGATGGGTTTGTTTCTTATTTGTTGCTGACGATGGCGCCAGCAACGGCGATACAATGAGGATTCTTTCGTGTGCGTTGCTGATGTCTCATCTGACTCCTGCAAGGTATAGAACGAAAGAGTTGCTATTTTGAGTTTATGGATTAGTGTTTGGTTTATGTTAAAGTGCTTGTGTTGATGAATTAGGAGTTATCTTTAATGTAGGATTTTGTGCCTGAGTTCTGTATCAGGGGACTAATTCTGTAATATATGCTTAGGGAAGTAGTGGTAGGTTTAAGTGATTTGCTCATCCGATGAACCCTCATTGCTAGGCTATTGTACATTAGAATCAAACTAGCCATCCTGTTGTTGGTGTGAACGGGGAACTAATTCATGATCTACTCTTGCTGATGCAGCAAGGGAAAGTACATCAGTAGCGCACTAATGAAGGAAAATTAATGAGAAAGCAACAACAGCAGCTGGAGAGGGGATAACAATTGCTGATGTCTCATCTCACCTCCCAAATCAAACTACTACTACTAGAGGTTGTAAAGCTGAGTATGTATGAATGATATTTATTTAGTGAAGCTAAGGTATAGAGCTTATACTTGCAAATTTCTATGTCAAAATGCAGAAGTTGATGCTGGTTCCTAAAATGCAGAAGTTGATGTGCTGGGTAAAAATTGTAGAAGTTGATGTCTTGGGTTTTTCTTTGAGCTGTTGGTTTTAGTCATTTGATGCTATTAGGGAATGATTCGTTTGGATGCATACAGTTTGTTGTATGATACAGTTGGTTTTAGTCATTTGCAGGTTCTGTCGGGTTTTATTAAACCGTTGGCCTTGCTTCATGCTTATTTGCCTAGCTTGGTTACAGCTATTGTATGAACATACAAGCATTCCACTTATGCTTTCTTTTATCCCTTGATGCATGAGCAAGTAATGTAGTGGTTTTTTGTTGCATTTTGTTTCTGTGTTATTAGGAAATGGCTAAGAGAAGAGTATTTGTAAGGAGACTGAAAGACTTAGCAAGGTGAGTAGTTTTAGGCACATTTTATTTATTGTTGCCATGTCTTTTTTTTCTGCTCCTATTTTTTATTACTAGAGCTCCGTTGTGCTCTACAATTACCTTATTATTCGTCTTTTTCATACTTATCAATCAGTACATTAATTTCTTCTTCTTATCAATGATTAAAGTATGCATACTGAATTCATAGCAATTTGTTACAGAATTTGTAGTAATCTCATATGTGTAGAGTTTGCTTGGGTTCAGGTCTTGGGGATGAATGTTCAAAATAGAAACCCAAGAAACCCAATAGTTCCATCTGTTATATCCAGCAAGCCTCTGCACCCAAATATGTTTATGTAATTACTATAGTTATGTAGATTTGTTGCTATTTTCTCAGTGGAAGTGGTTGAATAGAGATATCTTTTGGTAAAATAAAGTTAATGAAAGATTCTATGTTGTATGGATGCAGGGGCACATTATGATGTCATTGTTTCTGCCTTTTATAGCAGAACAGAAGCCGCTTTCACTTGGCATGCTTTGTCTCATCATTTCGATCTACAAGATGAAGTGCTGAAGTGAGGTTGTTTTCGTCACTTATATAAGTTGCAACTATGACGTAATTTTTGACTTAGGTGTTTCATGATTTATTTCGTTAGGAAAGCAAGTGTATTTGTAATCTATTTATATTTTCATTTCATTGTAAAACATCATTTGCAATTACTTTCTTTTGGCTATTAAGGAGATATAAAGTGCTTTATATCTTCATTTCATTAGTCAGACTCAGTACTATAACTTCAAAAACGGAGCATTTGAAAGCAAAGAATTATGCAAAATTCATAATGGAAAATATCTGTTAAATACCGTGACCAAATGTTAGTTTCTAGACACGGGAGAATCAACTAAATATTGTGATCAAATGTTAGCATTTAAACACAGGAGAATCAATCAAATACTGTGAATAATGATGGGCATCTACTCACGGTAAACAATTTTGTCACGGTAAATACTGTGTTGAAAGTTCTACATCCCGTATCTAAATGAGTTTTGTTCCCGGTTTTGTGTGGCAAAACTTGCTATTAGTCATGGGTCTTGCCGTGATTAATAGGTATAAACTATCACGGGAACACATACCGTGACTAGGTATAACTAGTCATGGTAAAAATTTCCCGTGACCTGTACAATTAGACACGGAGGTATATATTACGGTAATTTTCCCGTGACTAAAATAATTAAACACAGTAAACGCACTTTCAAACACAGGATTTACCATGAATAAATGGTCTTTTTCCTGTAGTGTCCCTAGAATCGATTACATGTTTATATTGGGCCTATCTGGGGATAATTTATCGTCCCCTTGCCTTTTTATAGGGTAGACATGTAGTTCCTATAGGTATCAAAGTGGAGTCCAAAAATCGTCCATGAAAAGTTTATTCAAAGCCTACGAGTTGTCTCTTATACTATATCTTTAGAGACGACAAATTGTCATGTATGACTTTTAGGGACAAACAATTGTCATTTAACTTATGTATTGGGGACGAGGAGTTGTCACTTATACACCTTCCGAGAAAGACTAAATATCCCTGATGTAACTCGTATGAATGACATATATCACTCGAGCAAAATATGATAAATATAATCCGAAAATTCAATTAATAAGAACTCCTTATTGTGAGCCATTAACCACAAAAGGATAAGTAGGAATACATTGTTTCTAAATAAAAAAGACCGACATAATTTCTACATCACAAGTAATGTTAATTATCACAATCAGGCTCAACTGTAATAAAAAATGCAAGTATAAATATTGTCTGCCAAATACTTAATATGATTCCTTCAACAATGAAAGGGGCTCCTCCAGCAATCTTTTTAGCCACAAAATTTGTACATATGAGGAACCATATATCCTGTCATATCCCTGCATATATAACAAATTTGCACGTTGTAACACCAATACAAAACGTAAAACATGTACTTTGTTCTCTTTAGTCATTCCTTGGTTATGAGTTCACAGCAAGCCATTAGCTAATTAGCTAAATGGAAATAGTAGAAAATTCTAGAGATGCAGAGGAATTGGAAATCATCTTTACCTGTCGTAGTTGTATAACATATTGATTTTCTATATACCATGGTTCATTGTTGTCTTAGGCAACCCTGCAACTCTAGCATTCACACTAAACATTAAAATGACATAGCAATGGAAAATGACAAAGCATGGAAAAGATAGTAATATCATGATAAAGGACTTTAAGAAGCAAAAGAAGACAAGATGTTATTGTATAAGTGGAGAAGTTAAAAATTAAGGTGAAGTCAAAAGTACCTGCATGTCATCATGTGTGCTGACGAAATTGTTGGGCACAGCGGAAATATGGTGAGATGGATCGAAAATAGAGGAAATTCTTTCACTCTAATATCTCACACAACTAGGCAATTGTTGCCTTTTACACGTAGCAAATACATGGGTGGTAGGTTTAGTTTGTGGCTTGAGTTTATTTCTATTATTTTAGTTCCAATAATGTAGGTAGTTGGGTAGTTGAGTTTTTCTCCAATATTCTGCACATGGGACTCATATGGAGATGTCTAGAGCTTTGAAGAGAATTGTGGATTATGGATTTTTGACAGAAATAAACTAGGGGAGTTAAATTTCATGGAGCCTGCAAAGTATGCCACACAATAAACTAAAATCAGTTTGCTCATCTCATGTGAAACTACATGTATATTAATTCAACTATAAGTCTATCTAAGCATAGTATCTTTTGTTGTGTCATCCAGGAGATGCACCTAAAATCAAACCATAACAAAGCAGCAGATGCACCTAAAATCCATATGTAGATGGTAACCTAGAGAGCATAACCGGGTTGGCAAAACAATGCTCCGATTCTTGTCATCATACGATGGGAAGTTGGGAACAAACAATAAACAACCAAGATTTGGATCGTAAGGAAAACATCACAGGGAGAAGATAAAACTTAGTACATGAAAAAGCCATCAAGGGACTTTTAAGCTGCGAGGCCACATATGGACGGAACTCATCTCCTCATTGCACAATCAAAATATAGAGAGACGCCACCAAGAGACAATAATTGTCCCTTTGCCCTCATCAGGCGCAACTCATAGCCTTCTAAAAAGACCTACGAGTCCAAACTACCCGCTCATTAGCACAAGCGAAACAGATCTAACCCTAACCACACTCAAACAATCTTCAATTTCATAAAACGAGAGAAATCATAATAAACAAAAGGTTTCAACTCGTAAATCAAATTCGCAGACAAGGAAACCCGCAAACAATCTCAAACCCTACTAACCAAACAATTTTAGGCCACCGACGGATTTTGTTTTCCTTTCCCGGGACGGGACGATGAACACAGCGCGGCGGAGGGCCTGTATATATCTCTTCTTTTTTCGATCGCCTCTCTGTATTTATATATTATAATAATAATAAATCCCTAAACCCTATATTTGATAAACTTTGCTAATAAACTTACTAAATCTTTTGGCCAATTGGCGGAGTCATTGATGCCTTAAAGGAATATTAGGCTTTAGGGTCAATTAATTCAAGCGTGGAAAGCCCGCCAAGGTTTAATTTTTCATTTTCAAGTAAACCGCGGAAACTTAGTCAGTTTTTTTGGGGACAACTTAAAAGAGCCCAACCCAATTAATTAGTTAACACTTGTTTTATAGAGACAGCTTTTCATATGTGTCCCCTAAATTACTTATTATTGTGTTTGCGGAGACAAATTAATATAGTTGTCCCCTAGGTTCGTCCCTAATGCTCCTCTATTTTGTAGTGTCATTTCTTTTTCAGGCAAGGTGAGCCAAACTTCAACACCGTATCCAACAGGAGACTGCAGCAAAAAGGCCACATTTGGAGTGGGGAATTGAGCCATAGTGACCCAAGCAGGCTTTCCCCATCCAAAATCAACATCGTACAATCTCAACCTAATTGTGGAAGTTATTGTGAATGGCGCTACTATGCTCGCGTTTTCAACAGCAGCATCCACCATGATCGATGGCTTCCAAAATGCTTCTAGGTTCCTAAGGAATTCTCGTCTCCCATCTCTTCCTTGTAACTTGCTCATAAACTCTTGATCAAGTTTCGCAACTGACCCCCTTAATTTACGGACCAACTCTTGTATTGTTTTATTTGTTCCATCATCCAAAGAATCTTGGTGTTGATCGTTGTGGTACAATGAAAGAGCAGGCCAAATTATGTTGCCAACAGAGTAATCTGGCCATGGCTCATTCATTCGAGATCGAAGATTAACCGCCATCGCTATAATCAACATGTAGAAAATAAAAGTTAACCAATCAATATAATACTACAATATATAACTCGACCCTTAGAGAAGTGGGGGTATAGAAAGCTCATTGCTTTTAACCTTTGTGCATAATGGCATTACCTGCAACTGAAGCAACTGCTCTGGGCTTTGACCCGTCGGGTGACGCTGCTCTGGCGGCTGCACTGGTCACGTATTTCCACAAGAACCCACCAACTGCCTCGGTCCGGGTCGGGTCGGGTACATGATCGCTCTTCGCTTTGGCTTTGAGCGCGTGGATCGCATCTTCATCGAACGCGAATCTCCTCATCAACACCTTCCCTTCTTCGTCCTCTGTGGCCGCGGGGACATCGTCGTATCGCGGCGGCAGGAGTGACGTGGCAGCGAGATTGTGAGCGTACCCGCTGCCACCCGCCGTTTTCTCCTCGCTCCTGTGGACGGCGGACCAGAGTTTCATGAAATCGGCCAAAGTGGGGCCATCTATGATCTTGTGCAACATGCAGACACCGATGGCGAGCCCGCCGCAGGGGAAAGCGGTAGCCCTGAAGGCGATCTGCGGCGCCGATTCGAGGCCCGAGATGATAAGATGGGCAGGGAAAGGGAGGAATTGCTGGAGCGACTCGATTTCGAGTCGTCTCCTTAGAAACTGAGCCACGGACGCATCGAACGTGGCGGAAGAAAACGGGATACCCTCGTCGTTGCAGTTGATGACTGGAATTGCACCGGCTTCATCGTTGTCGCCGGATTTGGACAACCTGCCGGCGAGTGGGTAGAAGCGCGTGAGGGTCTGGGCGAGTGAAGACTTGAGGGTCTCGAACATTCTCTCCCCTGGTTTTATTGGTCCCGTGGAGGCGGGAGCGGGAAAAAAGAAGATGAAAGGTACGTAAATTGGCGGGACTAGGTTGTCCATGAAGGAGCTTACGTTGACTTGATGATGATGATAATAATGGTACTGATTCCTGCTGGGTTTCAGTGATGGTGATAGTAGTAGTGATACTCTAGGGAGGGACCAAATGAAAGATCTAGCTGCAAGCTTCTTGCTTAATGACACCGCCCCAAACATCAACCGAAACATCATCTATGGTGCAATGAGTATGATCAACCTCAAATGACTAGTAAATATATAACACCCCTCAAACGAAAATATCACTCACGTGAGTTTGAAGTTTACACAAAGCATCATAGACGCCATGTATTTATCAATTGGGTCACAGGGATTCGAGCAGAAAGCATATTAATAATAAAAAAAACTTGATACTATGTCAAAACACACAATAAGTTTTTATAATTTGTGTTGTTGAATAAGATTCGATTATATATCATATACCACTTATTAACATCGTAATCAAAGGAGACATGGTCCAACAAACCAAGCCATCTATAATCAAAGGGAGACCTGGTCCAACATACCAATCTAAAACAGAGTTGCTCATACCCTCCTTGGTTGCAGCTTTAAAGGGTGTGTCCTCTTTTTCACTGAAAGAATGCTGGGAGTGTTTAGTCACAATGCAAGCAGAGGTGTTAATAATGGATGGATGGCATTGACTTGCCAGGATTTCTCTTTCTCTTATATTATTGTGTTGTCGAGTGGCGGACTGGATAATTAATGGTGGTCTTTTCTCAGATGTCGCTGCATCATAATTCGTTGAGTTATTATATTAGGTGTATTTAGTAAACGAGCATCATTGGCCATGATGATTCCTCACCTATATGAATTTATTAGATTGGACAAATTATGGTTAAAGCAAATCATCATTTTATTAGGATGAATTTAATTTGTTGACTCTTGAAATTTTTGATAATTTAGTTGTAAGAATAACACAAGTTGAAATGTGGGATGATAGTTGAAATTCGTGACTCACTCGTATGTTTTCATGTAGGATGGCGCCTACTTGGCATGTGGTTACTGCATTTGTAAGTTTTTTATAATGCATATTATTCTCCTTTTATTTTTTGTTGGTGCTGCCCGCCTAGGATGATTCATTGGGTAATTGGACAAAATTATCATATGACTCATATGGATATTGTGTTGACCCAAATGCACTCATATGTACACTAAATAATTATGAGTATGGATTGGGTCTGAATTGTCTCCAATTTGGATCAATCCATTTAGGTCGGATCCAAATGACTATCTATTTAGATCTATATAATGCACACGAAAAAACAATATCAACATTCCCACTATTCGCATTCAACCAATTCATAACTTCACTAGTGGCAACTTCATATTTATGTTTGTTTTAGAACAAAGAAAAAGACAAATCACATTAGAGTTGGTTATCCATTTTCTTTTAAGTATATAATGTAATGGGTTTAATTTAGACCAAACCTAATTTGACTCATAATAAATTAGATTTGGGCAATACCCAATTACCGGTCCTTTCTACATCCCTAATTAATGGGTTTATGATTAACATAACAGGGAAGCTACGCGCATTATGTAACTAATCTTTTCAGTTTTCACATATATCAAGTGGTATGGTACATAGTGGTAACTACATAACCGGTAACCCAATGAAAAGTTAATAATAATGGACCATAGCCCATAGGTGATCATGCCTAACTAGCAGGCCATATAACTATGTCCAAAAGGGAACATATCAAAGCCCAAAAATGCAAACCACGATTTGCACTACCCGGCCCATTCAGCAGCCGGCAAGGCTCTACTTCTGCCTCTAGCATTCCTTCTTTCTTCCAGTTCGAAACGAACTATTCCGCTCCGGCAACGGCAACGTTAAAGCATTTCGCACTTACACCAGCGAGGTCAGTTCTTTACCTCCCCCGCCCTTCTGGAACAGAGCTAAGAGTTCCACTTGATGCCCTTCCAAATTTCAATTATTGGCTTTCCTTCTTTACAAATTGCCTTTCATTGAACAAGCACCCAACGCCTAGGTTTACAGATCATACTAGGCTATTAAATACCATCCTGCACTTACTCTTGGGTGCGGACCAAATCAGCAGCTTCTGCTGCTGTGTTCAACTACACCTTGATTGGTGATTCCCTACTGGTTCAGCTTTTGCAGTAAAGGTACCTTCTCGTTGGAATGAGTTTCCAGGGTACTACTAACATGGTGACTGTTCTGTTGTGGGATGGTGTCATCATCTTCCTCTTTGCTCTTTCCCCACATCAGAATGTAGAACCCAATTGCAATGGTTATTGCTCCAATCAGGCTGCCAAAATTGGACGATTGGAAACAAAAGGGGATATTTTGTTAGGGTTAAAGTTACTAACTTTATAGACTTTCTCTGTCTATTTGTATTGAAACTGAAGTTAGTTTTACCTTCCTAGATGCAGAATATCACCCAGAAGCGTTACTCCCATGGCAACAGCTACAATCATCGCGAATGGTTTGAACGACGACACAAATACTGGCCCCTTGAGCCGCAACACCCATGCCTCCACACCATTGCTCACGGACGATCCAAGCACTCCCTAATCGAACATGCAAAGGTTTAAAAGAGGCATGCTCTTGATACCGCCCATCTGATGATGAGTATTGTTAAGCCTCTTACCGAGCAGAAAACCGATGCGATTGCTGTGCTACTGCTGAATATCCAGGCACTTGAAGATGTTCCTTCAGTGATCAGAGCAAAAACTGATGTTATGATGCAGACAATCACGTTGTAGAAGAAGATCACTGTGAATTCTGCAGGATACTCCTTCATTATCTGGGTCTGTTCCACAAAACACCACCAATTTGAGACTTCATGGTGAAATGAACAGCAATCTAACAAAGATGGGTTTGGAAGGAAGCATACATTACATACCAGTACAATGTACCACAAAGGGGTAAGTATATACTTCAGGGTGAGACACATCCCACCAAGTACCCAATGTTCTTGTGTTGTTGTTGTTGGTGGTGACTGAAGAAGGGATGATTGATAATTCAATTGGATTGGTGATGTGGATTCCAGCGGGAAAATCGGGGGACCCTTATAGAAGGTCACCACAAATGCACCTGCTATTGCCACTATTGTGCCTAGGATTTTGGCCTGGCTGGATGATCTTCTGATCACAACTCTTTCCATCCTTTTCTTGTCATAGGCGGGATATTAGAGAGAGTTCGTTCAGTTCATGGACAAGTAGTTGAAGTTATGGCTTCTCACAAATACGGCAGCGGGAGCTAGGATTGAGAAAGAAATGGTACCTGCAAATAACGGCAAACAAGAAAGTAAATGCTGGACTGAGATTGCCAATGGCGGATGCAAGAGTTGGAGAGCTGTAGTTGATTCCAGTGTACAATATGATCTGAGCTGAACTCCTGTGAAGAAACTAACCATCAATTCAATAGAACCCCAGGAGAGCTCAGATATAAAGATCATCAAAAGGTTGATTTCAGAGGGAATAAGTTAACCCACCCTATGAGCCCGAGGAGACCAATTTTGCACATAATTGAGGAGCTCAAAGGAGGAAGAACACTTGATCTGCAAACAAAATATGATGCATATTTGAGTTTCCTAGAAAACACTAGTTGGAGTTTCCGATCAGAGAGCAATAGGGAAAGGTAAAAGAGAGAACCTTTTGGAGAGGAAAGGAGCTGGGATAAGAATAAGAGAAGCGATGGCATAGTCATAGGCGACGAAGACATTGTTGCTCATACCCTCCATGGTTGCAGCTTTGAAGAGCGTGCTGATCCCAACGCTGATGATGTTTAAGCGACCATGGCCAGAAACGGCAGCACATCTCTTTGGAAATAGTAACCCCACGTCATCTTTCTTCTCCGGTGACCTGTTTTCTCTTCTTCACTGAAAGCTTTACTTAGTGGGAGAAGGGGCTGAGCAAGCAGCGGTGTTAATGGGTGAGAGGACCTGACACTTTGTTTCTAAATATTATTCTACTGTCATCATGTGGTGGTTGACTTAAAGGTATTTTTTTCAGTTGTCATTATCAAATTTCAACCCACTTTCTTGTGGTCTGTTGGTTGAGTAAGCACCTATTAGGCTCAGTTGTCTTCTTTATAGAATTATTATTAGTTATTAGGGTAAATGACCCATTTGGTTACTGAGATTATTAAATTGTGTCATGTTTAGTCACTAGAAAAAATTAATATCAATTTTGGTCACTTGAATTACCGAAACTGGTCAAATTTAGTCACTCTCCCGTCAGTTTCCGTCCAACTCCATTAATGTAGTTGGACGGAAACTTTTGGGAGAGTGACTAAATGTGACATGTTTCAGTAATACGAGTGACTAAATGTGACATTTTTCAATAATTCGAGTGACCGGAATTGGACAGAGGCTACAGAAGAGTGACCAAATGTGACCTGTGTCAGTAATTCGAGTGACCAAAATTGATATTAAATTTTTCTAGTGACTAAATATGACACGATTTAGTAATCTCAGTGACCAAATGTGTCATTTACCCTTAGTTATTATTATGCTACAAGCAGCCAAAAAAACATTATTATTATGTCACAAGCAGCCAAAAAAACGAGGTACTGTTCATTAAGAGAATTTTGGAATTGTGTACCAAAAAAAAGAGAGCTTTGGAATTACTGTTCACAGGGAGGGTACGGTACACCCAAACCTACTTTTAGATTGGTGATCCTTGGTAGACCTCTAGCGGTTAGCTAAGCCATCCTCTGAGGACGCCTACCCTCCCAGGCCCCAGCTTCCCGAACCCTTAGACCCAACCCGCTTTCCCTCCTCCTGTCCAATTCTTCGACTCTACTAATAAACGACTTTGCTTCCTCCTGGCTGTGATTAAGTTGCAGGTCACTCTGTTATATAGGCAATACAATGGTATAATAACCCCTTCAACCCTACCCGCTTCCCCTTTTCCTCCCCAATCTTCTGACTCTGTCAATAAGTGGAAGGAGGAAATTAAACAGCCACATTCGACCGAGGAATTCTTTGATAAAGATGAAGAAGACGGACTGGGTATTTTTGTTAATTGATTGAGTTTTTTCAGTTAAGGTACCTGCAATAGAACTGCTAAGCTCAGTACGACAGATCTGGTATCTCCAAGCTGCTCAAACCGCTGGATCTTGAATTGGGAGATTGACGCCACCTATGACGGCCGATGGCAGTGTCTTTCTCTTCTCCTTTGACCTGAATCGTGGTCATCCTTTCTTTGGCCACAGAGGTGAGGTATCTTGAAAAAAATTATTCTACCTTAACTTAGGCATCCTACTGCGAAACGGAGAGAAGCTAAGATCTAACACACGATTGGGTGATGGATTTAAAGAATTTCAGATCATATATGGAGAAGGGATACGAATTTCCTTCTCTCAGTTTGGCCTATAAGCTTCTCGATTTTTTATTGTTCTCTTTCAACGAATCATATATCGTATGTGAAGGCTGTGTAATTTTTTATCATTCACATTGATTTGATCTCTTATCTTGGTTACCACTCATTGGTTAGATAGAAGCTAAGGGAAGGTAAAATTATGTTGGACGGCTTTCTCATGGTTGAGTGTTGACCATAATGGAAAGGAAGCCGTAGTATAAGTGGTAAGTGGTAACTAATCTTTTCACGTACATTATGTAAATGTAAATGTAATGTAGTAATTGGACTCAATTACCACATAATGCAGTAATTGGGTTAAAAACCCACTTTTGGAAGAGCAAAAAGGGTATGGGAATTGGACCATGGAAATTGGCTTCAATTACCACATTCATGGTAATTGAGAATACTACACCTCCCCCTAGTAATTTGACATTACCACGTTTTCTTACTTCTTTTTCCAAATTTCACACCATCAATTCCCACAAAACTAAACCCTATCCAAACGTAATTTTTTTTCCAATTTCTACAAATCAATTCCTTGGTTTTCTAAAACATGGAAATTCAGACAAATTCCAACGTTTTCAAATTTCCACATCCAAACGACCCCAAGTGAAAGAGATCGGGGTAACTACACTACAGAACCCAAAAAAACGTTAATATTGGACCATAGCTCATAGGTGATCAGGCTTCAAGCCTAGCTAGCAGGCCCATAGAACTATGTCCAAAAGGGAACAAATGAAACTCACAATCGCAAACCACGATTTGCACCACCCGGCCCATTCAGCAGCCGGCAAGGCTCTACCACCTGCCTCTAGCATTCGTTCTTTCATCAAGTTCGGAACGAACTATTCCGGCAACGGCAAAGCATTTCGCACTTCTACGGTAGAAGTTCTACACAGCCAGGTTAGTACTTTCTCTCCCTCCAACCCTTCTGGAACAGAGGAAAGAGTTCCACTTGATGGCCTTCCAAATTTCAATTATTGGCTTTACTTCTTTGCAAATTGGCTTCCATGGAACAAGCACCCATCGTATATATTTACAGGTCATGCTAGGTTATTAGATACCACCCTGAATTTAATCTTGGATGTGGGCCAAATCAGCAGCTTCTGCTGCTGTTTTCAACTACACCTTGAATGGTGATTCCCTACTGGTTCAGCTTTTGCAGTAAAGGTACCTTCTCGTTGGATTGAGGTTCGAGGGGACTACTAACATGATTACTGTTCCGTTGTGGGATGGTGTTATCATCTTCCTCTTTGGCCTTTCCCCACATCAGCATGTAGAACCCAATTGCAATGGTTATTGCTCCAATCAGGCTGCCAAATCGGAAGATTGGAAACAAAAGGGGATATCTGTTAGGGTTAAAGTTACTAGCTTTGTGGACTTTCTCTGTCTATCTGTGTTGAAACTGAAGTTTGTTTTACCTCCCTAGATGCAGAATATCACCCAGAAGTGTAACTCCCATGGCAACAGATACAATCATCGCGAATGGTTTGAACGACGACACAAATACTGGCCCTTTGAGCCGCAACACCCATGCGTCAACGCCATTGCTCAAGCACGATCCAAGCACTCCCTAATCGAACATGCAAAGGTTTAAAAAAGGCATAGTCTTGATACTGCCCATTTGGTGATGAGTATTGTTAAGTTTCTTACCGAGCAGAAAACCGATGCTATTGCTGTGCTACTGCTGAATATCCAGGCACTTGATGTTGTTCCTTCAGTGATCAGAGCAAAAACTGATGTTATGATGCAGACAATTACATTGTAGAAGAAGATCACTGTGAATTCTGCAGGGTACTCCTTCATTATCTGTGTCTGTTCCACAAAACAGCACAATTTGAGACTTCATGGTGAAATGAACAGCAATCTAACAAAGATGGGTTTGGAAGGAAGCAGACAATACATACCACTACAATGTACCACAAAGGGTCAAGTATATACTTCACGGTGAGACACATCCCACCGAGTACCCAATGTCCTTGCGTAGTTGCTGTTGATGACTGAAGAAGGGATGATTGATAATTCAGTTTAGTTGGTGATGGAGATTCTGACGCGAAAATCGGGGGACCCTTATAGAGGGTCACCACAAATGCACCTGCTATTGCCACTATTGTGCCTAGGATTTTGGCCTGGCTGGATGATCTTCTAATCGCAACTCTTTCCATCCTTTTCGTGACAAAGGTGAAATTAGAGAGAGTTCCGTTCATGGACAAGTGGTAGAAAGTTGTGGCTACTGAAAATACAGTAGCAGGAGCTAGGATTGGGAAACAAATGGTACCTGCAAATGACGGCAAACAGGAAAGTAAAAGCTGGAGTGAGATTGCCAATGGCGGACGCAAGAGTTGGAGAACTGTAGTTGATTCCAGTGTACACCATGATTTGAGACGAACTCCTGGGAAGAAATTAGCCACCAATTCAACAGAAAACCCAGGAAAGCTCAGATATTGAGATCATCAAAAGGTTGATTTCACATGAAGTTACTCAACCCACCCTATGAGCCCGAGGAGGCCAATTTTGCACACAACTGAGGAGCTCAAAGGAGGAAGAACACTCGACCTGCAAAATTATGCTGCATATTGAGTTTTCCCAGAAAACCAACTCGGACTTGCCGATCAGAGAGCAATTGGGATGGGGAAAAGGCAGAACCTTTTGGAGAGGAAAGGAGCAGGAAGAAGAACAAGAGAAGCGATGGCATAGTCATAGGCGACGAAGACATGGTTGCTCATCCCCTCCACTGTTGCAGCTTTGAAGAGCGTATTGATCCCAACGTTGATGATGTTCAAGCTGACCATGGCCACAAACGGCAGCACATCTCTGTGGAAATAGTATCCTCCCGTCATCTTTTCCCCTTTCCGTTCACCTTCCCACCTTCTTCTGTGTCCTTTTCTTCACTGAAAAGCTGCTGGGAGTGTTTGAAAATGGCTCCGGTTGCGTGGCCGGCACAAGCAGCGGTGTTAATAATGGATGACTTGGCACTTGGCAGGAACTGTCAAGTGGCGGAATTTATAATGGGGTTTCAAGTTGTCACTGTCATCGTTCTTTTTTGAGTTATTGGGTGGGTGAAGTGGGCATCAATTAAGGCTATGTACGTATGGTGATTCCTCACATGGAATTTATACAATTGGAGAAATTCAACTCCAACTTTTGCCATCTTAACTTCTCAAGTTGACGTACTATGGTAAGATGAAATTCGTGCTCCACTCATATACGGTTCATTTGGCAGCTGGTTTACTTGAGTAATTATACCCAAATCCAAATAAACTCATTCATGATGGGTTGGGTATGGGTGAAGTGTACATGGGTATGAGAGTTTGTAGATGGGTTTGGTATGAGTATGAATATTGCTTCCATAATCTAAATGGGTATGGGTTGGATATGGATATTCATTTACTTGGGGTGTTTTAACTACACATGCAAAAAACTGGACATATTTGTAAAACTTGAAAAGTTTAGATACCAAAATGTAAGACAAAAAAATTTAGGTACCAAAATGTAATTTTCCATCAATATTTTGAGGACTTATATGCAAAAAAATTAAATTTAGGTACTAAATATGCATATATATTAAGTTTAGGTATCAAACTGTATTTTACATTTGGACATGGGTACAAACCCAAATTCGTTTGTTATAAACCTAACCCAACACAACCCAAGTAAGTGGGTATGTGTACAAACCCATCAAACTCTACCCATATCCATCTATTTGGATTTCATACCCAACCCAATTGAGTTGTATAGTAAAAAATCTATGGGTATGGGCAAAATTGTCATCCCTACTTAGCATGTCGGGTACTTGATTTTTACACTTTGGTTTTTTCCCTTTTTTCTTGGGTCATTGTTGCCTGCCTAATTTATGGGTTTATGCTTAACACTGAAGCTGCATGATTTGTGGCGCTTGTGGCGGGCTTGTCTCTGCTGAACATGAGATACAAAACTTAAATCAATAGGGGATCACCTAAGATGATGGGGTACACAGACGAGGATTAAATTCAGCATCCAGACAAAGCAAACTCCTAATGAAATTATAATGTTAGCATTTTTTGTTGCGAGGTGACAAAATGCTAATAAATAATTTATTATACGATTGAGTTTGATATCTTTGTTATATCGATGTAGGTTATATGGTAATATGCATTAACAATTTAATTAATCAAATTAGCATTTGATAGCAAAAAAAGAAAAAATAGATCTTGAAATTCAAGTCAGGTGACCTATTAAACATGAATTTATTCACTTCTTTATATTTGATCTTGAAACAAAGAGTTCTACTCATATAGTTCACATCAAAAGTGACATGTGGTAATTGGACATACACATTTTCTACAATGCATGATGGCAAATATCTAGTGGTATAAGTTGTGTGCAAAATAATTTGGTATGTCTTTTTGAATTAAAACAATACAGAATTGTGATTTGTATGATTAAAATCTTTGATTCCGCAACAATCACATAATTAGGTATGGCTGATGGGGTTTATGATTGATGGATGAGATTTCTTGAAACTATTGGTTGATTGGTAAATAGAATTTCATGACAAAATATATTAAGTATATGAATACAGCTTGAGTTGTATAATTTATCAATAAACTTGCACAAAAGGTAGAAAATGTGCATAAATGTAATGCAAATATTTTGTCACAAATTCTGACAATTAGTAGGTTTCTTTCATTTCACTCAACAGAATACAGTAAAACAGAAACCTTTCTGCTGCTCTCACTCTTTTACATATGCAGAGGGATACAATTATACAAATGGAAGCTGAATTTGAACAGCCCAGGTTTCATGCTTCGTTAATGGTTCTTAACTCTTAAGAGATTACTTGAACCAAACTGTACATTATACAAGTCCAAGATACAGATTTCATGCACATGAATTCATGTTACACTTGTTCAGTTTTGTAGCTTTGCAGCAAAGGGGCATGAACATCCTCTCCAGACTGGGGTGCCTGAAGGCTGCTGCTATTGTGACACGGATCTTCTTCTAATTTGGTCTCACTATTATCGATCTCTTTCGCCTTTCCCCACATCAACATGTAGAACCCGGCGGATATGATTGTTGCTCCAATTAGGCTGTGAAATAGTTGATCAAAAGCAAAGTGGAAAATTTGAGACTTTGTAGCATTGATTGGAAATGGAAGGACACACTCAGATGTAAACTTGATAAGAAACTATACCTTCCAAGAAGCAGTGGATCCCCCAGAAACACCACCCCCATGACAACAGCAATCACCATGGAAAATGGACTGAACATTGCCACAAATAGAGGCCCCTTAACCCTTAGCGCCCATGCATCGATAGCATTGCTCATGCATGATCCGAACACTCCCTAGTTTACAGTACACTGATTTCCATTAATACTAAATAATTCATTCATTCATTCATTCATCCATAAAGACATGTAACTAGTATTTTCCTCTCACCGAGCATAACACCGAGGCAAATGCAATCCTCGAACTAAGCAACCAGGCGTTCGATGATGTTCCTTCAGCAATCAAAGCAACAACTGCTGCAAAGACGCATACTACCAAGTCGTATAGAAAGGTTACCGTGAGTTCTGCAGGGTATTCCTCCATTATCTGAGTCTGTTGCCAAACAAAATATGCCAAACCCATAAAGGATAATTGTTCAAGGTTATAACTTCTTGGTGAATGAGGGAGGAGCAAAAGCATACCAGAACAACACACCAGAGTGGAATTAGTATGTATTGAATGGTCAGAAAAACGGAACCAAGAATCCAATTCGGGGTTGTCGATGACGAGACTTGAAAGGGTTGTTGATCAAGTTGAGAAAGAACTGATGATGGTGGTGTAGTGGTGGCAAAGGAAATTGGAGGACCTTTGTAGAAGGTTATAACAAATGCACCTGTGATTGCAGCTATGGTGCCCACAATTTTGGCCTGGCTTGATCTTCTCCTCATTGTAACCTTTTCCATTCTTTGTTTTTGGGGTTCAATTACAGGTACCATCATCAGCAAGAGGAGGGGAGAAGGGTTGAAGAAACCAAATTGGGGGAAATCAAAATCACCTGAACATGACGGCAAATATGAATGTAAAAGCTGGAGTGAGGTTGCTTAAGGCTGAAGACAGTGTTGGTGAACTGAAATTGATCCCTGTGTAACCCATCATCTTAGATGCTCCCCTGTGTTCATTCATTTCTTTCACCACTAAGTTTTGCTCTTTTCCATTGGATTCTCAGAAATTTGGTTCTCAAAGTGAAACCCCTAACCCCGTTCCTTTCCCAATCCCAAATTCCACAAGAACAGAGTAAAGTGGGATTACCCAATGATTCCAAGAAGACAAATTTTCCATATCATGCGAGAAGTCAAAGGAGGAAGAGCAGTTGTGGATCTGCACACACAAAAAAAAAAAAAAAAAAAAAAAACAGGGGCCAAAAAACAGAGTAATCAAGCTATTTTCTTTTCTATTCAAAAGAGAGAAGGAAGAAGAAAAGAAGGAACAACCTGCGAGAGATGTATACAGCTGGGAGGAGTACGAGAGCGGCTGTAGCGTAGTCGTAGACAACGAAGACATGGTAGCTCATGCCCTGCAAAGTCGCAGCTTTGAACAGGGTGTTTAGCCCAACGCTGATCAGCTCGAGAGCCACCATGACTGAAAATGGAAGCACTGATTCGAGGAAATAACTCATTGCCGTCATCTTTCTCTCCGATCTATCTCTCTGTTTACTCAGACAATCGGACTGATGACTGAACCAGCTGGAGAATGAAAGAAGAAAGAAAGGAAAAAAGATTCAGAGGGTGAGTTGTCGTACACTAGTGGGCGTGTGGCTTGCTGAGGGAGATGACTTGAGACATTTGGTAGGAAATTAATGGAATCCACCGTGGCTAATAGGTCAATAGCATATTCAGTCATTGTAATATGTTGTTTGGATAAATATATCACTGTTCTAAGAACTTTTAGCGAAGAAATACCTGTACTGTATCAATTATGCTATTTTTAGTTCTTGTGTAAGAAACTTCGTCAAAATAAATTAGGCAAAATACAGTTCCATAGCCAAAACTTTCACGTTTGTGCCAATAATAGCCACATTTGGCGAAATACCACTTATAGCCAAGTCCGTCCAATTCTTTAACGCTGTTAACGTTAAGTGTGACTGGGCAAACGGAGCAGCTTACGTGGACCGCCACAGATTTCCACGTGGACAATAATTAAAAAAAAAAACAAAATCAGAAACCACTAATTTTTACGGAGACCCAAGCGCTCTCTTTCCTCTTTCCTTATCCTCTTCACCTAAACCCTCGGAATCCCATCGATGAAATATCGACCACGAAGGCGACGAAGGAGGATCTTCCTCCGACGACCCCCCTCCGACGAACCCCCTATCACCGCTATTCCTTCCTCCACCATCAATTTTCCCCCATTCCCCAGTCTCGATTTTCCTCCATCAATCGAGTTTAACCTACCGCCTCCTTCCTCTAGAAACACATACAGAGGATGGGTTGACTAACCGACGCCGAGCTTTGGCCGAGTCCTTCGAAGCTTCTTCTCTTCTGCATGCTTCGGAGGAATCTCGGAATCGACCGACGTATTCTAGTTTGAAACCCTAATCTCACTTCAAAACTCGATTTGTGCTCTCCCTCGTCAGTCGCGACTGGTATCGAATTACATTAATATCATGATTAACCCTCCTTCCTTCAGCAACCATAATCTAATGTGCTTTCATCCATCTAGATAGCTCATCGGACATAATTTTCTTCTCTTTCTTCCTCCTCTCAGCCTTACATTGTGCTATACGCAAACTGTCTTTGAGCTTCAGAATCGAACTACTTTCAGAGTTTGCTTGCTTATCTTCATCCACATTCAATCGCACCCACCTAAAAAAGCGACAATTCTTCGTCTCGTCCTGCACCATAACAGAAATAAACTTGCAACTCTAGCTCAGACAAGTACCACCAAAATGCATAAATCATGTCTACGCCACCTTACCTTCCAAAAAGGACATCCATAGAACTGCCTGCTTGGGTTCAACTCTGTGCCGGATGTCTTGACCACACATGGCTTATTGCACCAACAAAGTACCACGCCTAGTTTCTGAGTGCTACTCGAACTTGAGGAAGCTGCTCGCCTGGACATGCCTGCAGCTCGCTTGAAGTGGAGGGCAGGAGAAATCGCGGAAGGAGAGGGTTGCGTCGTTGCGAGTCGGAATCGGAATCAGAAGGGAGTAGAGGATTCGTGGAGAGTGGAATTTGGGGGAACAACCCTAATTCCGAAATCGGAATCGATCAGAAGGGAGTAGAGGATTCTTGGAGAGTGGAAAGTGGAAGTTTGGGGAAGAACCCTAATTCCAAAATCGGAGGAGGATTCGTGAGAGGAGAGGAAAATTGGGGACAAACCCTAATTTTTAATCGGGCCAAAGTTGGGGGCTGAACGATTCGCCCCACATACGAATATATGGTAAATTTTTTTTTTTAATAATGTAATATATGACCTGTCCATAATTGCTTAGTTGGCGCTGACGTGTTCGCATTCTTCTCGCCAAATCAGCAAACCGTCTACTAATTTGACGGTGTTAGTAACACCGTCAATGTTTATAACGGAAATGGCTATATTTGTCCAACAACATTTTCAAAAGGTGGCTATAAGTGGTATTTCGCCAAATGTGGCTATTATTGGCACAAACGTGAAAGTTTTGGTTATGGAACTGTATTTCGCCAATAAATTATTGATTGGATAAACGTAAATCGATGTTGAAGTAACCACATCGTTGATAACTAACATCCCATAAATTAATTTAGGTCTTGTTTGAGTCTCAAATGACTGATGCATTGTAAACAATGAGCGGAGTTGTGAGATTTGAGAGTCATATTAATGGTAAAAATGCAAATATACAACATACATGGAATGTTATGTTAGTATCCAAAACGTAATTATTAAGCATCGTTGATCCTAACCAGAAACTAGCTGAATTTGAACTGATTTTGTAATTGAAGGGGATATAAACGGACAACTGGCAAAATACGAGAACCTGTTTGTGAAGATGAATATTTACAGGTTTCTATGAGTTTCTTCTCCCAGTTGAAAAATAATCCTTCTTCCTGCTAAGTGCTAACACGCTACAGGTTGGACATTGAAGCTGCATTTCCATCCCCGGTTCAGCCGCTGTTGCTTGTTCTGCACGGTTGTTCTAGCTCTCGCCTCTCGATACTGCTGATGATGAGCAAAGGCCTTTTCCTTCTTTAAGAACACTGGACACAAACAAGGTTTTCAAGCAATTTGGCTTCTTCACTTTGTCGCAAATGCAATGGTGTCTGCTTAAACTTGTGCATTTCTTCTGTAGCTCTGCAACAGAGGAGCCTTCTCTGCGTAATGAGTTTCCTGCTGCTGGTTGCAGCAACTAGCAGTAACGCAGGCCTCTGTGAAATCATCCTCTTGAGCTTTTCCCCACATCACAGTGTAAAACCCAATCGATATTACTACTGCCCCAATCACACTGCAAGGATGGACATTGAGCAGGTTGGACAGTATTATAGAAATGCGGTCCAAATCAAGACATTCTGTGGATAGAAGTGAGTTAATTAATAGCTACCTTCCCAGATAAAGTGTGTCGCCCAGAAACATCACGCCCATAGCAACAGCGATGGCGATGGACAACGGCTTAAACATTGCTACAAACACAGGTCCCTTGATCCGCAGTGCCCATGTATGAACACTGTTGTTCAAGCACGATCCAAATCCCTACAACACATACACCAGCAGCATTGGCAAAAGGTCAGAAAAGTTTCGTTATTTATATTCAGCCTTAACATCGGGCAAAGTCAAGTCTCGGCTCAGCCTCTCACCGAGCAAATCACGGATGCTAACGCTACATTAGGCTTCAATATCCAGGCAGTTGGAGAAGTCCCTTCTGTAACAAGAGCAACAAATGCTGCTATGATGCACACAACTATGTTGTAGAAGAAGACTACCGTGACTTCAGCTGGGTACTCCTTCATAATTTGAGTCTGTGTTCGAGCAAACACCAACACCAGAAGGATTTATGTCAGCTCCTCATCATTCGCAACCACCAGAAGTGCCCGGGTCAGAGAGGAGCATATATACCTGAACAATGTACCATGAAGGAACTAGAAGGTACTCACAGGTGAGGAAAAACCCACCAAGGACCCAGTTTTGGGTTGGTGAGCTAGCAAGAGAGTGATTGAGTTGAACAGTTGACGATGATGAAGAAGAAGCCGTGATAATTGGAGCACCCTTGTAGAGAGTTACAACAAACGCACCCGCTATTGAGGCTACTGTGCCCAATACTTTGGCCTGACTGGATCTTCTCCTCACGGTGACTTTCTCCATTCTTGGATTTTAAACATGTACAGAAAAAGGTTAGATATGGTACCATTGAGCCGCACAAACTATTATGTGGAAATCTATGTCATTCATCACTACCACATATCCAGGAAGAAGGAAAGTGAAGATTACAGCTCCTTTGATCTTTGGCAATGCAGTACAATGGCTAGAAATTGCAGGGTGGGGGAATTACCTGCAAATGACAGCAAGTAAGAAGGTGAAAGCTGGAGTGAGGTTGCCTATAGCTGAAGCAAGCGTAGGAGAGCTGTAATTGATGCCTGCGTATCCCATGATCTGGGATGAACTTCTGCTCCCAAATCCGCAACACCCAAGACAAAATCAATTCAAGACCAAAGAAACCCAGAAACAGGGAAATGAATTCATCAGTGCCCATTCATTTTCCTAAGCGAAAAAAGCTAACCCAAAGACCCCCAGAAGACCGACTTTCCAGAGTACCGAGAAACTTAGCCGAGGAAGAGCTCTTGATCTGCAAATTCAACCCACAAAGCAAATTCAGCCCTTGATTTCCCCTTGATTAATTTCTCAGAATCCCCAACTTAATCAGCAAAATAAGAGAGAAAGGGAAGTCAACCTGCGGGATAAGAAAGGAGCAGGGAGGAGAGCAAGAGTAGCAATTGCGTAGGAATAGACAACGAAGACATGGTAGCTCATGCCCGCCATAGTTGCAGCTTTGAAGAGTGTGTTCAATCCAACATTCATACACTCTATACTCACCATAGCTGAAAATGCCATCACTTCCCCGTATACAAGTCTTCCTCCTCCCGCCATTTCTCTCTTCTGATCCTGTTCACTCCTTCCCTTGGAAGCTGAAATGGGAACAATTTTTGGTCCTAACATCAGCATGAAACTCGCGCAGAGCGATCTGGGCAGGTAGGTAGCCTCCCTCCAGAGTGGCAGAGTCCACGCAGTCCACAGTTCGACAATATCTTCAGTCTTCACCATCCTCCAGGGCTGTGATCCAACAACTCCATTAGTGGCCTAAGGCCCCATTACACCCTTGGTCTGGGCTAAGAGGCCCAATAATATTATCTTGTTCATTGCCTTTAGTACAAGACTAATTAATGCTAGGGCTAGACCACTCAGTAGAACATGTATTGAAATTTAACCGATAGAACATCAATTTAGATTACCAGAACTATTTCATTGATCGGATAATTTGAGCTATTGCAAGAGATCCAAAATGAGTCATATATAATTTACTTTTACTGATTATGAAAAATGAAAGTCAAACAGTATTATTAAAGTATGAGACACTCGAGAGTCGTATTAAGGGTAAAAATAAGAATATACAACATACTTGACATGTTATGTTAGTGTCCAATACGTACTTATCAAGCCTCGTTGATCCTAACCAGAAACTAGCTGAATTTGGATTGATTTTGTAATTAAAGGGGCTATAAACGGACAACTGACAAGATACAGGAACCTGTTTGTGAAGATGGATATTTACAGGTTTCTATGAGTTTCTCCTCCCAGTTGACATAAATAATCCTTCATCCTGCTAACACGCTACAGGTTAGCCATTGAAGCTGCATTTCCATCCCTGGTCCAGCCGCTGTTGCTTGTTCTGCACGGTTGTCCTGACTCTCGATACTGCTGATGATGAGCTAAGGCCTTTCCCTTCTTCAAGAACACCAGACACACACAAGGTTTTCAAGCAATTTTTGGCTTCTTCACTTTGTCGCAAACGCAATGGTGTCTGCTTAAACTTGTGCAATTCTTCTGTAGCTCTGCAACAGAGGATCCTTCTCTATGGAATGAGTTTCCTGCTGCTGGCTACCGCAACTAGCACCACCGCAGGCCTCTGTGAAATCATCCTCTTGAGCTTTTCCCCACATCACAGTGTAGAACCCAATCGATATTACTACTGCCCCAATCACACTGCAAGGATGGACATTGAGTAGGTTCGAAATTTTAAAGAAATGCGATTCATATCAAGACCTGTGGATGGTAGTAAGTTAATTAATTGCTACCTTCCCAGATAAAGTGTGTCGCCCAAGAACATCAGGCCCATAGCAACAGCGATGGCAATGGACAATGGCTTGAACATTGCTACAAACACAGGTCCCTTGATCCGCAGTGCCCACGTATGAACACAGCTGTTCAAGCACGATCCAAATCCCTACAACAAACACACCAGCAGCATTGGCAGAAGGTGGTCAGTAAAGCCTCGTTGTTTATCTTCAGCCTTTTAACATTCGGAAACACCAAAACTTGAATTAACCTCTTACCGAGCAAACCACTGAAGCTAATGCTACATTAGGACTCACTATCCATGCAGTTGGAGAAGTCCCTTCCATAATCAGACTAACAAATGTGGCGATGAAGCACACAACTAAGTTGTAGAAGAAGACTACCGTGACTTCAGCTGGATACTCCTTCATAAGTTGAGTCTGAGTTCGACCAAACACCAACACCAGAGTGATTCTACATCAGTTCCTCAGATTTCCGAACAACAAGAAGTTCCCAGTTTAAGAGAGGTGCGTATATACCTGCACAATGTACCATAAAGGAACTAGAATGTACTCACAGGTGAGAAAAACCCCACCAAGGAACCAGTTTTGGGTTGGTGAGCTGCTTACGGATACGGATTGATTGAGATGAGCTGAAGAGGAAGCAATAATAAGTGGAGCGCCCTTGTAGAGAGTGACAACAAATGCACCTGCTATTGACACTAATGTGCCCAATACTTTTGCCTGACTGGATCGTCTCCTCACAATAACAGTCTCCATTCTTAGATGTCAAACAGGTACGGAAAAGGTTAGAAGTGGTAACATTCAGTCACATAAATGTATGAATGGAACTCAATATCATTTCCCAAATTCAGAAAGAAGGAAAGTGAAGATTACAGCTCTTTGGATCTTTGGCCGTGCAGAAGAATGGCTAGAAATTACCTGCAAATGACAGCAAGTAGAAAGGTAAAAGCTGGAGTGAGGTTGCCTATAGCTGAAGCAAGCGTAGGAGAGCTGTAACTGATGCCTGCGTATCCAATCATCTGGGCCGAGCTTCTGCTCCCAAATCCACCACACCCAAGACAAAATCAACTCAAAACCAACGAAACCCAGAATCAGGGGAATGAATTCATCAGTGCTAATTCATTTTAGCAAAAAAAAAAAAAAAAAAAAATTACCCAATGACCCCCAGAAGACCGATTTTCCAGAGTACAGAGAAACTTAACCCAGGAAGAGCTCTTGATCTGCGAAATCAACCCACAAAGCAAATTCAAGCCTTGCTTTCCCCTTGATTAATTTCTCAGAATCCCCAACTTAATCGGCAAAATGAGAGAGAAAGGAAAGTCAACCTGCGGGATAAGAAAGGAGCAGGCAGGAGAGCAAGAGTAGCAATTGCGTAGCAATATACAACAAAGACATGGTAGCTCATGCCTGCCATAGTTGCAGCTTTGAAGAGTGTGTTCAACCCAACATTCATACACTCTATACTCACCATCGTTGAAAATGTCATCACTTCCCCGTACACAAATCCTCCTCCTCCCGCCATTTCTCTCTTTTGATTTCTGTTCACACCTTCCTCTCTTGGAAGCTGAAATGGAAACAATTTTTGGTCGTAACTTTAGCATGAAAATTGAAACTCGCGCAGAGCGATCTGTGTAGGTAGCCTCCCACAGTTCTACAATATCTCCACCATCCTCCAGGACTGTGAATGATCTAACAACTTCATCAGTGGCCTTAAGGGGCCCAACAATCTTGTCTTGTTCATCGCTTTTGTAATGTACAACACTAAATAATGCTAGGCCTGTAGGCCACTCAGTAGTCAGTAGAACATCCTTTTCTTTTTGGATGATGATGACATCAATTACTAGGAAAAGGAAAGGAAAGAACAGACAAACAGGAGGGAAAGCAGCAGCCTCCCAAGGAGAGGTAGAAAGAAAGAAAAGGAAACCAACAAACAGGATTTGTTATCGAGAAAACGTGAGGCAAAAAAAAAAAAAAACACACACACACAGCTTAAGCAAACCAAAAGCTCCGTCCTCAGAATGGTGAAAACTGCCAGTAAACGCCACTGGGAAAAATGCAGCAATGACTGAGACCAGGCTTGCTAGATGACAAGACTGAATTCATTGGTGCCCATAATTTGAGCTATTGCAACATGCAAGAGATCCAAAATGAGTCATATACAATTTTCTTTTACTGATTATGAAAAATGATGGTGAAACAGTAACCTTCACTTTTGTTCAAGATTCAACCAAGAATATATGAGGATCATCGATATTCAAGTATGAGACATTCGATCAAACGTTCTAATATTCCAAAAACTGTCGAATTTATCTCAATAATACAAGTTAATGAAAGAGGCCGAAGGATGGGTCTTAAATTAGTGTTCCTAATTACATATATCTTATTGTGCCATGTTGCAATAGAAAATGTAAGGAAGTAGCTGGAATAAAAACGGTAGGAAGGAGTTCCTGATATAAGCAAGTTAAAAAAATATATAGTTCTTCTTTGGCTCCCTCTTTCTGCGTGTTTTAGCCAAGAACACAAGATTCTTAGCTCATGTACAAGACCACAAAGCTTTCGTCCTTCTCTTATGGTAGAGGTGGCTCAAGTAGTAAGGAACTTAAGGATTGACAAGTTATACTCTGTTAAATTCACACTGGCTATCATACTAAGAAAATAATTCCTTAGTTGCCACCGATAAGACTATAAGCCTTAACCGCTTGCTCTCAAGAGTTTGCCTCAAAATTATGAGGCCCTCCAAAGTATATGCCTAATGTTAGAATAGGGACGTAACTGATACATAATACTGGGTATAGTTCCACGATAAACATACACTAGGGTAGCTCGTACGTGGTATGTCTTCTTTGTCGTTACTTATTATCTCAAACAAGCTCATCGAGCTAGGTCTTATAAATAATTAAATACCATAAAAACAATGTCACAGGAATGATTTCATCGAATTTGATGATACATTTCGGTTTCTCTGTGACAAATTTCAAGCCATTACTATCTGTTGTGATCCATACGATGATGAAATGATTGTAACCAGAAGTGATTGAGGTCTTTAAGCTAACATACACGGGTGAAATAGAAGGAAATGCACTTTCTACATTCTACAACCTACAGAAGTGATGGCGGGAGCTTACATCTGCTGATAGTGTGATGTCTGCCAAAGCTAACTGCAGGGGATCTCAGTTTGGGAAGCTGGAGGTGATCTTGGTTGTAATTGACAGAGACAAGGCAGAGACCATGAGGTGGGGCCGCCAGAGCATACTTGGCGAGCTCCCTGCGATCACGACTCACCAAGATTACTGGTACTATATCAGGAGGGATGGCTTGCTTTCCTATTTGCAGCAGCAAAGCAACCTGCAAGCAAAGAAAACGAAAAGTAGCAATTGGAACCGAGCATTTCATAAGTGTAGGGTTATACTAAGAGTAGTAAGTGAAAGCTGAAACCAACCATGTTGCGCACTTGTCTGTACAAGAAACCGGTGCCTTCAACATCCAGCTGGATCAGTGGCCCCTGCAGCAGCATGATGTCAGCACAATTATACAATAGACATGCACAAATAGGAACTGAAAACAACAAAAGATTCTAACTTGATCCATGCCATTTCAGAAACATCAAAGCGGAGAATAGTCTTGACAGGATTTGGCACTCGATCATTGCGAGATGCATTGGCAAAGGCCGAGAAATCATGACTCCCAACAAAATGCGTGGCAGCTTCCGCCATCACAGCTGTATCGAGTTTGTAATGGCTGTGGTGGGCATAGTGGCGCAGGAGTGGGTCCATCACCGCATCATTATAGATCCTGTAGCGATAGAGCTTGCTGGTGACGGAGAATCGAGCATGGAATTCAGGCAGAGCCGGTGCAACCTCTCGTACTCGAATGTCTTCGGGTAGTAGACCGTTGAGAGCTGCGTGAACACGGTCCAAGGAGTCGTAGTTGAAAGGAGTGAGGAACTGTGCGACCTGGCCCAAAGCATGAACTCCAGCATCAGTCCTGCTCGCTCCGACAACTTGAAGATGTTTCCTCTCCAGCTTGGTCGCTCGAGTCAGGGCTTTTTCTAGTAACCCCTGTATAGTAGGAGGGGATTCCTGAAACTGCCAGCCAGCATACCGGGTCCCATCATAAGAAACAACCAAACGCCACTTCTTCCAGTCTTTAAAGCCAGTTGAAACTGTAGCATCTGCATCCACAACCCTGCCACAATCGATCTTCAATGGGAGGCCATTGATCTGTGATAGGAGAGAAAAGAAGGGTTAGTTTGCATAATACGGAGGATACATCCAGGACATCTTTGAGTGAGTGAAAGTTACCAAGCTGTGGTCAGGTATAGCTGTAGCAGGTGTAGCAGCATGCAATCCTGGTTGCAAACTAGCCATGGTTTGAGCCATACTCTCTTATTAAGAGGTAAAATTTGAGGGTTGTGTTACTCGCCCCATTGCTTGAAACTTTTATTGTGTCGTGCAGAGGCCTGCCATTTGCAATGCATAAGATGGTACTATTTCAACTGAACATTTATGCAAGTGCAGTGGAAGAAGTGAGAACCAAAAACCAACGTTCTAGGATCCTTCACATTCTACTATTCTAGTAGCTCTTACAAGTCAGAAGATGTGAGTACCAAAAACTCATTTCCTTTCTATTGTAAGAAGGACCCCCAGAGCTAAGGAATAAGGATGCAATTACAGTACAGAGCACTGCCACCACGAAGAAGATTTGTGAACTAAAAGGTCTTGCAAGAGCGCATTTATGACTCCTCAGGTCCTGTAAGAACTCTACAGAGCAAGATAGCAAGCCACCATGAATTTACCTGCGAGTCTTGAGTAGATTATGATGGAGGGAGCCGGGAGGAGGAGCAATGGAAACTTGGAGGGAATCGCCAAGGCCTCCTGCAGAAGAAGAACGAAGGAAATGAAATTGAATATCCTAATTCCCAACAGAGATAAAGGTAGTAAGGTACTTGCACAAAAATTGCTAACATCCGGCTCATTGGGCCCTTACCAAATAACTCGAGCCCAAGCCCAACCCTGACAGAAGATTTCGCCCAATTAGGCTTATAAAAAGTAAAAGCCCATAACCCAGCCAAGCATGGCACAAACTTGCCAAAAATTCGCCTCGAAAGTCCGAACGAATCAAATTTTCAAAAATGGCGAAAAACAGAGCCGAACGAGAAACATCAAACATACCGTACCAGACTGCACAGCAAAGTTCGACATTTACGGAATAATTATTACTTATATACTACTCTACTGCTACGACGTACACACCAGCAACCATAAGGGCCTGTTTACTTTCATTTCTGTTTCCTGTTTTTTAGAAAACAGATGTTGAAAACAGGTGAAAACAACATTTTGTCGTTTCCGAAAACAGCAGGAAGTTGCCACTTTCTGTTTTCATAGTTGGAAACGAATAGAAATCAGAATGAAAAGTAAACAAGTTTTCTCATTTCGGTTGCCAAATTTATCACATGAAAACAGAAAACTGGAAACGAAAATGAAAGTGAACAGGGCCTCAGCTTTTCAGCTCTTCCTTCGCTTTCTTTTCAAGAAAGGCATCGCCCTTAGACCTCCTGCTTCAGGAGCCAAGGTATCATCTACAATGCTATCAGGAATAGATGAGCTGCCGGACTGCAGATGATCATCAGTTTCTGTAGTTCTCAATGTCTCAGTGCGTGGATCCTTATCGGCTGCGCTTTCATTCACAGCATTCAGTGATGAAAAAGCAGCAAACTTGACCTCATTCATCAAACCACCATGACGAGGCTTCTCGGTGGAATCTTCCTCGAGGGGTGGAGACAGGCTGACGACATCAGCTTGATTGTTGTGTGCATCACTTTCATCCACACAAAACCCACCTCCACTCTCTAAGTAATCTTTCGAAGCGTTGCTTTCAGAAGGATTAATGCTAATGCCACCCTCGGGGTTACCAGCTTCACCTTCATCCATGCAGAAACCACCTCCTGTTTCGAGATCCTCCCTAGGTGTTGTATCCATCTGCACTAATAAATCGTCTTCCAGAATTTGTGGTTCTCTAACAGCAGGACTCGAGTCAGCATTTCCTGGATGCGCTTTAGCTTCTCCTGCTGCCTCTTCTTTACCATCTGGGTCTACTGAATTGATCACGTCATCCATTTCCAGGTCGGATGTATAACTAACAGGATGTCTCAACCGTTTCGACTGTATACATGGAGAGAAAAAAAACAATACCGGGAGGGTGTATCTTATTAGACATAAGAGAGAAACAAATAGAAAATTCTGATTGTAGAACAACTTGAGCAAAGAGGATATGTTGCTGCGACAAAGATGACAAATATCAAGCCAAGTCATTACCCGTCGCACTTCATTTGGCCTCTTTGAGTTCTGAATCTGATCCTCGTGTTCTTCACTGCTGCTCTCAGTGTCCCCAGAACTCTGTCCAGATGGTTCCAAACCTCGAGATCTCCTCCCCCTTCCCCTCCCACTTCCTATTCCTTTCCCTTTCCTTCCACCACTACCCCTACCTCTCCCACCCTTGTTTGAGCCTTCTGCAGTCTGCTGCCTGTTTCCTGACAATAACTCTTGCCCTGATTCCTCCTTTTCAGATGAGATATCCTTCGCAGTGGTACTTGCTTTCTTAGATCTCTTAGTCGTTGATTTTCCGGAAAGATTGTGGTCGCTACTAAGAATAGATCCTTCTGCTGACTTAAGTTCAGACTCAGCAGGAGTCGCTCTTCTTTTCTTAGTCAATTCAGGGGCTTCTTCTGGGACATCATCCAATACGGTTGAACTTGATTTTCCAGTAATTCCTTTTACAGCTTTCTTGATTCTCTTGCTTCGAATCTTAGCAAATCTCTCGTTGAAAGTGTAAAATGCTTCCAACCGCAGTTGAGTCTATATAACCATTCCAGAACAGAGAGTCACCAAATAAGATAACTGACTGGTATACTATTACATAAAGAAAGATATAGTAGACATATAAAGAGATAAAGATTGCCCAAGAAAAGCTACAACCTCGCGTTTGTTGTACTCTTTCAGGACAGGCAGAAGCAACTCCTGCGACTTTTGGACATTCCAGCCAAATCTTTCCCAGCATAATCTGAAGGCAAAACTCTCAATCATGAATAAGAAAGGTTTTAATACATTTTTCATGTCAAGAAAGTGGAATTATTTTAAGGAACTTCATACCACAAATGAACAAGTGAATAGAATCATAGAATAGATGCAAAGATATGATGATACGGTGACGTTTTCGTCCCAAGTTCATACGACAAGACATGCTGCGCTTAAGTTCCACACGACGACGTATTGGACTCCAACAGTCACTCGCTTCATCGTCCTTCTAAGTCTACTGAATCGAGCAGAACTGATCATACACTCAACCCTAGCCTCTCGATCATAGCCTCCCACCTATCTACATGAAACGGCGAAAAAGCTCAACTCTGATCGTCGGTGATGAAGCACAGACATCACCGACATCCCACCAAAGACATGATGGAGTTCAAACGGCTCTATTCCAGTGCAAACGGTCAAGACAGATTTCTAGGTATAAATAGATTTATGATTGTTTGTTTAGAACTTGGCTGCGATAGAGATAGAATCTGGAGAATTCTTAGGCTATCTTAAGTCCGGTTGTTTCTCTTCAGTAGTTTGATTCATAGTGATTATTCTGGGTGGATCAAGCTTGGGAAGAGTGTTGTTGTTTGTGTGTGTACAAAGTGCCAACTCAGTTGGCACGACACAGAGTGGTTTTATTGCCTCTCTGGTGTAATTTCTTCTTTCAATCAATAAATTAGTCTGTTTACTGTGTTCCAGCCGTATTTCTTGGTCTCAAATATCCAACAATTGGTATCAGAGCTGGGTCTTTGAAGGATTAAATCTCGCCAAAGACGATCAAGGACATGGCTGGAGTCATGGCTGCCTCGGCTTCATACTCTGCAAACACCAATCCACCATGGTTCGACGGCACGGATTACACAGTCTGGAAGAAAAGGATGAGGATTTACTTGCGAGGTGTCGACGGCGGATTATGGGCAATTGTCAAGAATGGGCCAATCCCCATGGATGATGAGCAAGAAGATAAGTGGGAGGATGATCAGAAATTGTCTTCCCAACAGAACTCGAGGGCAATGCATATCCTCTTTTCAGCACTCAGTCCAGAAGAGAGGAGTCAAGTGGCTCAATGTGAGACAGCCAAAGAGATTTGGGAGTCTCTTGAGACTACCCACGAAGGTACGTCAGAAGTTAAAGAAAGTAGGATAGATGTGTTGATAAATGAATATGAATCGTTTGAGATGAGCACTGGTGAGTCTATAACCAGTATGTACAAGAGATTTAATGACCTGATAAATAGATTAAAAGGTTTAGGGAAAACATTCCCAACAAAAGATCTAGTTAGAAAGATTCTACGAAGTCTTCCTAGAGAATGGCTGCCTAAACGAACAACTATAGAAGAAGCAAAGGACTTAAATGTTTTATCAATTGAAAGGCTTATTGGCTCACTACTAAGTCATGAGGAAGTTATCGTCCAAATGAATAGGGAAGATAGCAGAAGGAAGAAAGTAATTGCCTTCAAGGCACAAGACTTTGAGAGTGAGTCAGAATATGAAATAGGAGAGGAATTTGAGAGGGAATTTGCCATGATTAGTAGAAAATTTCACAAAATGCTAAAAATGAAAAGAGACTTTGATGATAGAAGGAATCGAGGAAGTTCAAGACAAGTCAATAATCATATCTATGAGTCAGGAAGGCGTCGAGATGGGTTCGAAAAAACACTAGGTCGAAATTTAGATAGAAACTCAGGAGGAAACACTCAGAATTATGACAAAGGTCAGTTTAAAAAATTGGACAAACCAACTGAAGATCGTGAAAGGTACATTCAGGAATCCAAGGAAGACCATAGGTCTTCCGGTGAGAAGGATCTAATGATCTGCTTTAAGTGTGGAAAGTCAGGTCACATGAGGTCAAGATGCCCTCTAAACCTAAAAAGACAAGAGAAGGCAATGGCAGCTTCTTGGAGCGACTACAGTTCTGAGGAAGACACTGAGGGAAGAAATCTAGCCTACATGGCCTTTGCCACTAAGGATGACAATGAGTCAAGCTCACTAGCAAGCTGTGACCAACCACTTCCTTCAGGGTACCAGGTAATGTCAGACTCTGAATCTGAAAAGTGTGACTCATCTGAAACAAAAAACAATTTTTTGCATGCTCTAAGAAATCTTCAGGAAGAATGTAATAGACTTAGGAGTAGGTACTGTTTACTAATGACAGAGAATCATGCTATGAGAAAGGAATTGGAAAATCTCAAGAAAACCGTGTCATTTCAGCATGAAAGTGAGATTAAATTCAAAAAACAAATGTTTGATCTAATTGATGAGAATGATGAGTTGAAACAAGATCTAAATGATTTGCATCAATTAAAAACAGGAAGACCTAGCACAAGAAACAATTTTCATCCACCAAGAAGTGCTCCTAGAACTTCTGAGCATGTTAAAGAAAAACACCATAAGAAAAATCAGAAGTATGCAGAAGTATATGTATGTTCCTACTGTAATCGAAAGGGTCATCTAGCAAAGTTTTGTTATGACTTGCAAAAGCCGAAGAAACGTACTGTTTATAAGTCGTTTTGGGTACCAAAATGTACTAATCTGTAACTGATTGCAGAAGCAGGGAGAAAAGGAAAACATTTGGTATTTGGACAGTGGGTGCTCCCACCACATGACAGGTAGAAAAGAGCTGTTTTCATCTCTGAGTTATAAAAAAGGAGGTAAAGTAGTGTTTGGAGATGATAGGGTTGGCAAAATTCTAGGGAATGGGACTATTGGTAAGAGTCCACTTCCAATTATTAAGGATGTTTTACTCGTTGAAGGATTGAAGCATAACTTATTGTCAATTAGTCAACTCTGTTCCTCTGAAAATAGAGTCACGTTTGAAGCTTTTTCATGCAAAATTTCTAGAATCCACGATAATAAACTGCTATTTAGTGGTGTAAAGAAAAACAACATGTATGTGGTCAACTTAAACAGTTTGGAAACCTTTAATGAAACATGTTTTCATGCTGCATCAAAAGAAGTAGACATGCTTTGGCATAGGAAACTAGGGCATGTATGCATGTCAAAATTATCAAAATTATCAAAATCTGAATCTGCTCGAGGGATTCCCTTGTTAAAAGATAAACAAGATTTTTTCTGTGATGCATGTGCAAGTGGTAAACTAACCAAGAAAAGTTTTAAGTTAAAGGGTGACATAACCACTTCCCGAGTCTATGAATTGATACACATGGACCTGTTTGGACCAACAAACGTGGTAAGTCTTGGAGGTAAGTCTTATGCTCTAGTTCTTGTTGATGATTTCTCACGTTTCACGTGGGTTTACTTGTTGGCTTCAAAAGATGAGGCATTTGCAATGTTTAAAATATTTGTATCAAAAATCTTAAGTGAGTCAGAACAAGGTATTAAGTCAATAAGGAGTGACAATGGAGGTGAGTTTATCTCAGAACAGTTCAGTACTCTGTGTAATGATAAAGGTATAAATCATACTTTTTCTGCACCTAGGACACCACAACAAAATGGTGTTGTAGAACGTAAAAATAGAACAATCATAGAGATGGCCAGGACCATGCTATTAGAATATGGAACTCCTAAGTTTCTGTGGGGAGAAGCTGTTATGACAGCAGTGCATGTTATAAATCGAGTCCTAATAAGGAAAGGTCTGGAAAAAACTCCATATGAGTTATTAAAGCACAAAACACCAAATTTGAGCTATTTCCATCCATTTGGATGTAAATGCTATGTTCTGAATACAAGAGACTACCTTTATAAGTTCGATGCTAAGGCTGAACAAGGAGTTTTTCTAGGGTACTCTATCAAAGGACAAGCCTATAGAGTCTACAACCTAAGAACAAGAAAGGTAGAAGAGTCTGTTTTTGTAAAATTTGATGAATCTGGATCTTCTGAGAAAATAAATGCAGAAAATATGGACTTCCTGCTTCCCTTATCAACTATGAAAGAAAAGGAGCTTGAAGAAGAAGAAAGGGATGTGAAAAAGCCTGAAGAAGAACAGATTCATCAACCTGAAGAAAAACTACCACCTGCTCATATACAGAAACGACACCCAACTTCTCAAATCATTGGAGATTTAAATGAAGGGATTCACACAAGAGGTAAGTACCGTCCAGGTCAGTATGCTTTTGTTTCGCTAATAGAACCTAAAAATTATAAGGAAGCCCTGACTATAGATGAATGGTTGCTTGCAATGCAAGAAGAGCTTGTACAATTTGCTAGGCTGCATGTTTGGGAACTAGTACCTAGACCGTTTAATAAACTAATTATTGGAACCAAGTGGGTCTTCAGAAACAAAATTGATGAACTTGGAATAATAACTAAGAACAAAGCTAGGCTAGTTGCACAAGGATACCTACAAGAGGAAGGAATTGATTTTGAAGACTCATTTGCTCCTGTAGCCAGAATTGAATCTATAAGAATGCTGTGTGCTTATGCTTGCTACATGAAAATTCCATTATATCAAATGGATGTTAAAAGCGCGTTTTTAAATGGAGAGATTAAGGAAGAAGTGTATGTTAGTCAGCCCCCTGGTTTCATAGACCATGAATTTCCTGACCATGTGTTCAAATTATCAAAAGCCTTGTATGGTCTAAGGCAAGCTCCTAGAGCTTGGTATGAAAAGCTAACCTCGTTTCTCATATCTGAGGGCTTCTCTCAAGGAAACGTGGATAAAACCTTATTCATTAAAACAGAAAATCAAGATACATTAATTGTACAAATATATGTGGATGACATAATCTTTGGATCAACAAACCCAAACATGTGTACAAGTTTCTGTGAATTAATGAAATCCGAGTTCGAAATGAGTATGATGGGAGAGTTATCTCATTTTCTAGGGTTACAAATCAAACAAGCAAAAGCAGGAATGTTTATAAGTCAAACAAATTACATCAAGTCCATGCTTAAAAAGTACAACATGAGCACTGTTAATATATGTCAAACTCCAATGGCAACAAACTTGAAATTAGATAAAGACATTGCTGGAGTCCCTGTGTGTGAAAAGAAATATAGAGGGATGATAGGATCTCTTTTATATTTGACTGCAAGTAGACCTGATATACAGTATAGTGTCGGTGTATGTGCCAGATTTCAATCTAACCCTAAAGAAAGTCACCTAAAGGCAGTAAAACGAATATTCAGGTACCTTAAGGGAACAATTGAACTAGGCTTATGGTATCCACACACTGATTCCTTTGAACCTTCAGGATTTAGTGACTCTGATTTCGGTGGAAGTTTAGTGGATAGGAAGAGTACTTCAGGAAGTGTGCAATTTCTAGGGCCAGCACTTGTGTCTTGGTTTAGTAAGAAACAAGGTGCTGTAGCACTATCAACTGCTGAAGCTGAATACCTTGCAGCTGGAAGTTGCTGCACCCAAATGATGTGGATAAAAACACAGCTATCTGATTATGGGTTTAAATTTCAAAATATCCCTGTCTGGTGTGATAATACAAGTGCAATATGTATGACAAAAAATCCTGTTCAACACTCTAGGACTAAGCACATTGAAATCAAATTTCATTACATACGAGATCTTGTGCAAGCGGGTCATATAAATCTACAGTTTATACCCACAGAACATCAGCTAGCCGACCTATTCACAAAACCCCTGCCTAATGAACGATTCACGTATCTCTGTACCGAATTAGGTCTGAGATCCTTTCACCAAACTTAGCCTCCAAAAATTGAAAGATGATTGGGTGTGGTATTCTCTAGGACGTTAGGATTAGGACTAACCTTTCTCTAGCTAAAGCTAACCCTGAAAGCAAAAACGTTTATTGGGTATGGTTTACTCTAGGTAACCACCCCGTCTTGATTTACAAAAACAAAATCTCTTTTCAGAGCATGCGTGTAAAACTGAACTTTTCTGTTAATCATTATGCTTCGGCATTAGAAGAGAAACTCTTCGACTTCCCTTCTGCTCTCAGCTTGCACACTCTATATAAACCATATCCCTAAGCAAATTTCTCCTCACCTTTGCTTCAACAAACCTCTAGTAAAACCATCAAAATCTTCCCTGCCAGAAAAATCAAACTTTCAAGATGAGTGATCACCTGCCCCGACCTTTTCGATTCGAAGGGTTAGTGCATACCTATCCTGGGTACATGTTCCATGAACCTGTGGTGATCAATCATCATCGTCATCTTCAACATTTCGAGAATAGAAGGTTGCATCACATTATTCAGCTAGATCCCTATGAGTTCAACCTCTACAAATACGATATCATTTCTCTCATTGAGGCTCTCGGATGGGATTATCTGCTGCGTCAACCTCTGCATCCAGCATGCCCTGGTGCAGTGAAGTACTTCTACTCAAATCTAAGGTGTCAAGGAATCAGCACCAGAAGCTTCTCAACAGTCATCTATGGCCATCTTCTAACCATTCCAGTTGCAGCCCTGAATGGGATCCTTGGATTTCCTGATCAGGGATTAGATATCGCTCATCCCTCGGAGTTCTGGAAGCATGACTTCATTCTTCCCACTGAATATGCAAACTTCTCCACAGAGCCGACTGGAGGAACTGATGTGCCGATTCCAATTGGATGGTTAACTCCGCGTTTGAGGATCTTCCATCATTTCATCACACATGTGTTCTTCCCTAGAACATATAATCTTGATGTTGTCCTGCCACTTGATCTCTGGATCATTGCAAGTGCAACGGCAGGACGCAAATTGAATTTTTCCAGCTTGCTGTTTGCAAATCTCCTCCCAGCTGGGGATGAACATTACCAAGGACTTCTCCCTTTCGGGTCTATCATTACTCGAATGCTGGTCAATCTAGGGATTGACCTATCAGATCACAGAAGTGTATCCCACACTATGTATGTTGGAGCTCTCAATGTCTTAATGATCCTCGATCTACCCACTGATGTCTCTCCATCACCACCTCCACTTCCATCCACCTCTCTGCTAGGCCCTCACCCAAAACCTGTCACCTCTGACAAAGGAAAATCAATTGCTGGCGAATCCAGCAAGAATGCTAATCTAGTGTTTACAGTTTCTGATGGAAATTCCTCCTCAGATGACTCTGCAGGGTCTGCTCAAGAAGGACCATCCTCTCTCGTTTAATTATCTGCTAGTTCTTAGGGGGAAATCTTAGATAGCTTTAGTTGTTCTCTCTGTAGTTTAATTTTTAGTTGGTAGTTTCTTTTTGTTGCAGTAGTTTAGGGGGAAGATTTTAAGGAGTTGGATCCTTTTGTAATGATGGTATTCTCTTTATCAAGTAATGGTAGTTTCGATTTCCTGTGCTCTCTGCTGGCTTTCTTCTGTTTTGTGTGTTTCAGGTAAACCCAGACTTCTCGGACGAAGGGGGAAATTGATGATACGGTGACGTTTTCGTCCCAAGTTCATACGACAAGACATGCTGCGCTTAAGTTCCACACGACGACGTATTGGACTCCAACAGTCACTCGCTTCATCGTCCTTCTAAGTCTACTGAATCGAGCAGAACTGATCATACACTCAACCCTAGCCTCTCGATCATAGCCTCCCACCTATCTACATGAAACGGCGAAAAAGCTCAACTCTGATCGTCGGTGATGAAGCACAGACATCACCGACATCCCACCAAAGACATGATGGAGTTCAAACGGCTCTATTCCAGTGCAAACGGTCAAGACAGATTTCTAGGTATAAATAGATTTATGATTGTTTGTTTAGAACTTGGCTGCGATAGAGATAGAATCTGGAGAATTCTTAGGCTATCTTAAGTCCGGTTGTTTCTCTTCAGTAGTTTGATTCATAGTGATTATTCTGGGTGGATCAAGCTTGGGAAGAGTGTTGTTGTTTGTGTGTGTACAAAGTGCCAACTCAGTTGGCACGACACAGAGTGGTTTTATTGCCTCTCTGGTGTAATTTCTTCTTTCAATCAATAAATTAGTCTGTTTACTGTGTTCCAGCCGTATTTCTTGGTCTCAAATATCCAACAAGATACAGCAGCAAGGAACTTCATCGTTACTATGATTAAATGCAAATTCACATGCACACTTAAAGAGAACTTACAATTCTAAGAGCTTTTAAGTATTTTTTTCCTATTCTCCCTTCTTCCTTCTCTGTTGTATTTTCTTCTTCTGGTTGGTCTTTCTTGGGTGTTCACCTCTAGTGAATTCCTTTTGTAAACTCTTTTTTCTAATTAATTTATATGCATTATCACCATTATTAAAAAAAAATCCCTAAGAGCTTACCGTTGAAGAAGGTGAAGATCTGGCTTTCCCCATGTGAAAGGTTCTGTTGATTTATCAACTTGGGGCGACCAATATGCAGAAATGACTGCTTCGCTTGGAAAAGAGGAAGGGATATACCAGTTCTTGCTAACATTTCTCTACAAAAATTAAATTAGTTTACCACGTATGAAGAGGAGGCATTGGCTGTTTGGCAGTTATATGACAAAAATTTGGATTACTTACATGCTTGTCCATAAAAATCTGCTTTATCTCGTCAATACCATCCATTGACGCAGTGTCCTTGTCAGATGGATCCAATTTACTGTCAGCAACTTTGGATCCTTGTTTCTTACCACTTGAGCGAGGCTTTCCACCCAGCTTCCCAAGGATGGTTGGATCTGGCGATTCTATCCACTCTCTAAATTTCTGCAGGCCATCATCCTCAGGGAAAGCATCAACAACCTCAATAGCATTAACAATACCGATCCCACTGCATAAAAAATATGGCCCAATAAGATGCAAAACCCATCAGCATGCAAATTAGTAAATGTAGTCAGCCCATATAATAAGTCTGAAGCAGTAATATAGGTAGCCCAAGCACATGGCCTGGACGAATACAAGTATACTTGAAGATGGCAGCACAATAATAGAATACTGATAGAGCAAATAACAGAAGTTGTATATTACCTAACTCCTTCAGTATAGTCGCTCCCGAGAAGCAATGCAATACGAATTAGTTTATCTCTAGTCAGGCCAAGTTCCTTCTCAATATCCTGACAAAACCACCATGAAAGTAAAAGTAGACCTGAGAGGAAAAATTACACTAAAAAATGGTGACGAGAAGAGATAAGAAACCATATGCATGCCAGAAGTCTGGAAACTTGTATCCCTAAATAGCATTCAGGGAAGAATGAGAGTAAAGAATGCGGTAGATTTTCTTACCTTCAAGAAGTAAGTCTCCACATATTTGCGGTCGTCAAATATATTCTTGTACACACTACACGCTCCAAATAGAAAAACGTCAGAGTCATCAGTTACAACACCATCAACAATGCCTGCGAGTTCCATGTATGCACATTGAGCTTCTGCCTCCATTGGTGCTATTATATATGGTATGCCAAACATTTGAAGAAGCTCCTGCATTACAATAGATGCACAAAACAGAATTATGCTCTCTATGCAGCAAAGGTGAACTAGGATTTCATAACAACTAGCATTGTACAATCACTTCCAATTAGCATTATACAAGCCAACTATGGTGCTTAGTATTTATAACAAGCTGGGAACCATAGGACTGGCTCAGTAAGGGAACTCAAACCAGCCACATAAGCCTGAAAAGCAACCAATAAGCTGACTGGCATGTACCTGGCACTCCGCGAACATTTCACTGGTGACTGATTCAGCATTGCGTTCATGCTTTCTCTGTTCATCTTCCAGATTCATAAATTCTTGACCCAGTATATGTATCTCCTCCTCTACGGTAGCCTGTGAAAAAACTTTCTCATCATTTGTATCAGCAGCAGCATGATTCTTGCTGTTCTTTGATGCGAATTGTGTGTCGAGGATCTTCTCACCAACCATTTGTTCCTCAATGTCATCGGGAGCTGTTGAATCTCCTCTAAGAGACTCTATGTATGATCCAGAAGAATTTGCTATAGTTTCCTCAACTGAATGAAGTGATGCTTCAGTTTCAGGAGCAACTTTATCCTCCCTGACAAACATGGAAGCTTCTGTTTGAACATTGTCCATACCAACACTCATCATGCTATCACCAATGACTGGTTTAGAAATATGAGAATCCTCAGCCGGATAGAAACTAGTTGTTGTGGTAGATAACCCACCAGCCTCAGTAGTAGCATCTACAGATTGCTCTGGATTTGGCCATTGTACTTCTCCATTTGCCTTGAGCTCTTTGCATGTATCCCATCGACATTCTTCAAACTTAGAACCTGTGTGCTCTAGACATGTCTTACTGATATCATCAAGACCATGCATTCCAGACAATGTGCTTCGAGAGACCTTGTTGGGCTCATTAGCTGTACTTGGACCACATGGTTCATTTGCTTCCATAGTGCCAATGTTTATATTACTTTCCTGAATATCCTTCCTAACCATATTCAACACTTGCCTGCTGTCGCTTCGATTAATAACTACAAGTTCGTCACCATTTTCTGCAAATCCTTTATCACTTCCTGGATCCTTGAGACTTCTCCTTATGGCTTCCTGCAAATCAGCATCTTCTTGCAACTCACCTCTTGAAACAGGTTTCCCAGATTGAACCTGGCACGAAAGCTTATTTTTTACCTCAGATGTTCTTCTTCCCATTCCACTTCACTGCCATCGCTATTGTTGCTTGCCTTTAGGAATGACTTATTTACTAACTCTGGGTCGGTGGAAGAACCATCCCATTTTGTCGTAATGCTCCCTTCCTCCCAATCACTATCAGAAGCTGAATCAAGAGCCTGTTTCCGGGTTGTATCATTGTCAACAGAAGAGATGTCAATTGGTTGTCCAGCAACTAAACAAGAGAACATGTCATCATCACTTTCATAAGACTTGCTCGCACCATCAATCTCAAATGAAATCTGCATACAACTATTGTTATCTATCAAATGGTGTCCATTTCTCTCGTTCAACTGTGTGGATCCAACACTGTTATCACCTGAACCTCTGACTTCTGTTCTTGCACTAGGAATTCCTTCTCCAGAATTAGCTTGTCCCCCCATGGTCTTAGAGGGAACGCTTGCAACATCAATTTCAACCTGTTCCATCTCCTTCATTATATCTAAATTCCGCTGTAAATCTCGGGTCATCCGCATCCCCATGGCACGTCCTCTACTTAATCGAATACGACCCCTTTCATCTGTATAGGTTTCAACATCATCATCAAAAACATTTCCAGATTCTTCAAGGCCAATTCCAGCCATTGTAGCTGCGTTACTGCCAGAAGCACCATCTTTAACAGAATGTGATGGAAGCCCACTTGGTGGTGGTTGTTGCTTATCCCCACTGCTCAGCACTCCACCAGAAGTAAATAACCTCACATAATCAGAGTAAACAATCAACATAAAGTTCCCCACTAAGTTAAATAACAAATAATAGTTGTAGGCATAAAGAACACATTAATGGACCATCTAGTACATGGCCAAGTTTTTAATAAAAAAATAGTACATGGCCAAGAGACTGCATCAGAAGCATCAAGTTGCATGCGAAAACAACAACAATTGTCCACCTCTTATAGTATTTCGAGTACTCTAATTTGGTTAGATCATCGGCAACTTTGTGTTTTTCATTTTATTAGGTTATGTTTTCTTTTTCTAATGAAAACTGTAGAGTTTAATGCCTCCACTTTGATTTGCATAATTTATTTAAGCATCCTTTCCTAGAGATTTTCAAGATATAAAGAAATCTGTAGAATGTTCTTCAATTGCTGAAGTGAGTCCATCTCTCTTTGCCCTCACTTATCTTCCAGATACAAACCTAGTTATATATATATAACAACTGGCCACACCACCATTTGGAAACAATAACTAAGGTTCATACAAAGTTGTACTTTGCACGTCAATGAACTCCTGACAGGATTCTTATAAAAGGAAAAGAAATTATGATAGCATGAAAAAAATGACTAAATGAGACTCACTGCTTATCCCCAGTAAATGATGATGAAAAGATAAATTCTCTGTTGGCTTCAGAGGCTATCCTTGAAGTCTGAACACCACCTACATTTCCCCCTGCAGCAGCTTTCTGCACTTGATCTATTTCTCGACGGAATGCAACAGTTTTGAGATAAGCTTGTATTTGGAGCTCGGAGAACTTTTCAGGAGCCTGCCAGGGAAAAAACCAAATATTATGTACTGGCGAGACTAAAGTTGGAAAGTCTGGATTTAAGGAGTAGGAAGCAAAAACAGCACTGAAATGAGAACTTTTTTACTAGATATCACAGAAACATGCAGTCCCTGTCCTCACACATAGTGCTCATTGCACTCAAGAACTAACCTTCTTGACTTTTTGATATCGTTGTCTGTTTTCAGCCATCAACCTCTCTCTCATCTACAGAAATAATATAGCAAATGAGCATTGTACAGAAAATTTGTGAAGCAGATGAGAAAGACCATTTAAATGAAGACTGGTCAATACTTCATCAGTGCATCCACAAAAAAAAAAAGAGCTACCTGCACAAGAAGATCCAGTTGCATTGATGGTGGCAGAGCTGCTAAGACAGCAGGATCAAATTTCCCTGGGACTGTTGGCTGAAAGTAGGTTATGAAACAAAAGTAATGATCAAGCCTGAGCAATAATGGAGACGTAAACATAGAGGAGCGTTCCCATGGCTCGTATTTCTTAAAAACTCAAAATAACTCTTGGATAAGAATCCTAAGATCTACATCAAACCATGATTTAACTTGTTGAACCTTTAAAAAACATCAAACAAAAATAAAGTAAATCAATCCATGACAAGTCCAGACTGAAAACCGTTAAACATATATTTGCCAACTTACAAGAATCATCTCTTCATCATCATCTTCACCGCCCTCGAAGGGAGCAGAAGCAACAGATGTTGTATTATACTTATGAATCCCATCTTCTTCAGCTAAAAGAGATGCAGCCAACCTAAATTTTGCTTTAGACGTGTTAACTTCAAATTCAGGAACTTGGAATCATAGAGCAAACTAAATCTCCCTTAATAGCCTACATCTCATCTAGCTTTTCTTGGTTGAAACTTTCCATCCCTTTGTCAAGCCCTTCAAAATTGTTCTTCTCTACTTCGGCTGGGTCCGACAATACCTCCTTTCCCTTCTCATTTTTCTTGCTGTTTTCAATCTGGTTCAAATAGCAATGCCAGTGAAACATGAAGGAGCAGAAATAAATTTCTGAAATTGTTACACAGGAAAGATACCCAAGCCAAAGGTCACATAGCCTGGTGGTAAGGGAGGAGGACTGGTGACCATAAGGTCCCAGGTTCGATCCTCACCGCCACCATGGTGTTCCCGGAGGCATCCCGCTATCACCCGGACCGCCGGCGGAGGTCCCGGGGTTTAGCCCGACTACGGCACCACAAAATGTGGTGACCGTGGAGGGTGTTCCTCGTTATCAAAAAAAAATAAACTATCAATCAGCACTTCAGCAGACAACTAAAAGCCTATTGAGTTTTTCTCTTACATAAGTAACAAAAGCAGACTTTTTATAGCACATACAAGCAAGAATCAGTTTAACAATAATGCTACATTAGCCAGAATGCATATGTACCTACATGGTGAACAGCTTGCAAGTTTTAATAAGTGTCTGCCCATTTCTTACCATTATAAAAGAGGTAGTGTTTCATTATTTTCTCAAACAACAATGTTACTTGGCATCAAAATAACTCTTCCATAAGTTTTTAGAACCAAATGGCAGTATCGATAATTGATTATTGTGAGACAGTTGATCTAATGAAGTTTACTACTTACAGTCTGATGTTGAAGTTAAAGACACAACCAAATAAATCTAAATAGATTCAAAAATGGATATATGTAAAAATTGCTTTGAGAATCCAAAAATCTAAAATCTAAAATCAATTTCAAATCTTCAAACAAAGAAAAATCAGGAATCATTATAATGAATGACACGGAATTCATTGATAAATCTTACAAAATCTTTCTTTTCTATAAGACAACCAGGAGCTTGACAAGTTTCTAGTCAAAGACCCAATTATGATTTATTTGCTGCACTGCATTGCATTAACAGTTTCAGCAATTTTGAATTACCTTGGTTTCATCATGAAATTGTCTGTCTTCCACCATTGACCCTTTCTTCATCTGCACAGAAAAGCCAGAATTTACTTAATCAAACAACGGTAATCCACCTAAAATTAATCTTAATAGCAGCACTTACCAGAACTTTACGTCGAATTGATGACGGCAAAGCAGCCAATACATCCGGATCCAGGTCACCATCTATCTCAGGCTGCAAAGAATTCAATAACGGCCATCAACATATCAACACGGATCGAGATCCCTCGAGTCATACTGAAGTTGCACAATGTCGAGCTAAATTGACTTTCAGCAAAGTAGAACTAATCTGAGTTTACATTATTTTTTATCTGACCAGTATAATCCCTGTTTCTCGCATTAGAATTTCAACCAAATAAAACCAGTGAAGATGGCTTCAACACAGTTGTAATAGAGCATGAAGGTTATAAGATATAGGAATGATGGAAAACAAAGTACCAGTATCAGGTCCTCATCTTCATCATCCTGCCTTTCTGGACCAGCAAATGTTGATGCATTTTCTACACCCACATTTTCCTCCGCTGCTATAGACGCAGCCAACCTAAATAGAAAGAATCATCAATGAACTGCTGAAAACAAATGGAGCCGGGCGTCCGGAAAGGAGCAACATGAAATTATCTCACATCTCATCCAATTTCTCTTGATTGACATGATCAAATGTTGCATCTCTATTCTCCAAACTGCTTGCTGCAGGCTCTGGTAAAACCTTCTTGCCCTTGGCGTTATTCTTCTGATTCTTCCTCTGGTTTTCAAGATCCTTTGCCAACTCTTTCAGCCTCGCTGTCTTCAGCTGCTCACAGCTCAAACACAAACAAATGAGCAACTCAAAAACACTCATGCATCATAAAACCACGCAGAGAACAGAACCACACTACATAAAAAGTCACAGTGATCAGTTCAAATTTTGGCAGAGAAGAATTAACTTGATTGAGGAGTAATTTCTCGGCGGTTTTCCGAATCTTAGCCTGCGCGTTCTCTCGCTGCCTCCGCCTTGCAATAACCGTGCGCCGCTTCAGAGCAGGCGTGCCTCCATCGAAGACGAACACAGGCTTGGTCCTGAGATACAACAGCTTGCAAATTCTACGAAAGAACCCTAGCAAGTGTGCATTACGCACCATGTCCCCCTTCTCGTCCCTCATGGCCTTCATGAACTGGACCAGCCAAATGCTCGCGTCTGCCCTAACGAAAATGATCCAACAGCAATGCAATTAACCAACCAGGCCATCAAACGGTGGTCATTTACTCATTTGTGCAACCAGAGCATCAAGCTTATTAGGGTTTTCTACGGCGTACCAATTGCGAGCCTCTTCCCGGAAAGCGTCTCGACGGACACGCGACGGCCGACCGGAGCGAGTAAGTCCCACAGTCCCTGGACTCCCATCCTGCCGCGATCACCACTCCGCCTTTCTCCCGATTCGTATCTTCTTCTCCGTCAATGGAACTGCGATCAGCGACCGAGCGACGAATTTCAGTTAGTTAGAGACGATTGATGACTTGCCGCCAAAGAATGAATCAGAAAAAGAGGGAAACTTGAAACGACGACGTCTCAGGTCTTCGTTTCAACGACACGGTGTCGTGTGCGTAATTTGGTTCTGGTGAGAATTGTAGAGTTGGCAACTGAAACCGCCGCACCCGCCACATTTTCATTCGCCATTAATCCACCTTGCAAGAAAAGCTTTGAGAAAAGCAAGCAGAAGAAACCGGCACGTGCCAGGGACCAAACCCATTACCCACACGAGCGTCGGTAGGAATCTTGATGAATCTCTCCTCCTCCATTGTCGTCTCTCTCTCTCCTTCTCCGATTCTTTCCTCTGCACTCCAAATCTGCCTTCTTTCCTCTTGCTTCGCTAGAAACGGATTGTACTACTCGGCGTCCATCACAAGATCAAAACTTTTTGCGGTCCCAGCGATTACGGTTCTCGCATTCGGTTAGCCTCAGAATCTTCTTCTTTCCGGGCCGTTGATTGATCTTTATAATTACGCTTCTCAATTGCTGGTTAGTTCATTGCTTTATAGAATTTGATTGGGTAGAGAAATTCAGCAGGAGTTGTTAGGATCGTAACCGGAACTGTGGAAATTTGGAAAGAACTGGAGGAGTCGAATTGGGATGGTTATTAGTTGTTGCAGGATCTGCATTGCATGTTGAAGTCGAGTGCATGTCTTTTTTGTGATCTGGATGGCTGGCGTTTCTCTTGTTCCTTGGTCTTGTTTGTGAGAAGTACTCCCATTTATAGTTGTTTTGTTGGTGGCTCAGGTCATTTTCTAACCAACTGCTTGTCTGAGTTCTTCCCTTCCCTGCCCTTGCTTGCATTTGGGATCAAGCTTGTTCCCATTTGTCAGTTTCTCTATGAAGTGCAAAATTGCTTATCCTTCTTAAGTAGCCTAAAGCACTGGTCTTTTTCTTGCTCCTTGTCCTGCCTGAGCTGGAAGGATTCTATTGCTGTTATGGTTATGTCTAGTAATCTGAGTAGGGCAGAATCTGTCAATTGCATTTGTGAGATCAAACTGGTTCACAATGTGCTGCTATGTAGACCTAGTTCAGTATTGGCTCGCTCTACTCATGATATAGATGGTTGTTTTCTCTTGATCAAATGCGATTGCATGGTTTAAGTTGGCGGAAGGCTGGTTTTATGGGTTCTGCAGGTCTAGTGATGGTTGACCATTTAAAGTTCATCTCCAATTATTTCCGATTTCACATGGAACTGATACGTATTAAAATTGAATGGCAAATTGTACACACTTAGATAATGTGGGATGGTAGGAAAAGGAGCTCGGGAAACCTTCAACCGTTGGAGTCCATACACACATGACCATGAATCTGTCAAGCCCTGATTGTTATTCTTCCTCGTGCTAGGTTCCCAAGTGAAGAAGATTCATTGAAGGGGGAAAATGTCTTCTCCAAGCAAAAGAAGAGACATGGATGTCATGAAACTGTACGTGCTTAGTATTTGGAGTCTCATCATCATTTCTGCTCGTGCCTTTTAGTTGTTATCTACCTTCAAATGTCGAGATCGGTGATGAACGTTTTGATGCGAATATAGTTAACAGTCAATGTAAAATAGATATGTTGTAATTTCCAAGTTTTTTCATTGAATATCCCAGTTATTTTTTTGTGAACTTTATGGTCTTTGTTTTCTCTTTTCTTTTGGAATTCTGAGGTTTAAAGGATCTGTTATCTACTCAAGTGCTGCCTGACTGTTCTTGTTATTCCACCGTCCTAATGTTGGTTGTGCATTGTAGGATGATGAGTGACTACACAGTGGAAACAATCAATGATGGGATTAATGAATTCAACGTGGAGTTCCATGGCCCAAAAGAAAGTAATGTTTTCTTCAATATGCTAATGTTTATATGGACATTGCATCTTGGTGTTTCTTTTCAGAAACAAACCCACCACTTCCTCAGGCAAGCATGCTATAAGATCTAAACCAAAAAATTTGATGTTCATTTATGCACCTAAGATTGAGACCTCTAATGCCACAGTGACCCTGACATCTAATATTGTTTGTTCTTGGTTTCCTTTGCCCATGCCTGTCCTTATATTGATCATGCTTTAACCACTGTCATATTGCTTTTTTTCTAACTGCAGTCTGGCTTCATTTTTCAGGCCTTTATGAAGGTGGTGTTTGGAAAGTTCGAGTGGAGTTACCAGATGCATATCCATACAAATCTCCTTCTATCGGGTTCCTCAATAAAATATACCACCCCAATGTTGATGAGATGTAAGCCTTTCATCATAGTTCCTGCCAGATTTGATTTTAGCCTCCCAATGTTCATTAGATAGCTCATGTAGATAATTTTGTTAATTACTTGTTCAAAACCAATATCACAGTAGATGTGTAGGTACTCGCATTTGGCTGGTGGGTATTGAAATGACTTATTAGAATTCCGGGTTTGACCCTGTTATCCTTTTTCTTATTAAAATTTAACTACTATTGTAGCCTATTAAGGAATTCCGAGTACTGATTTTAACATGCCTTAATTTCATAAACAAATATGGGGAAAATTTCATCAGGAAAGATTATGAGAGATAGACGCAAGTGCTTTGCATAGGTCTGTAGAAGATTATGCAGGAATTTTTTTTTTTTTTTTTGTTAATTTGCTTTATACCAAGTTACTTAAAGCTTAATCTAAGGTTGTTCTCCTGTATTTTCACAGGTCAGGTTCTGTTTGCTTGGATGTCATCAACCAATCATGGAGTCCAATGTTTGGTAGTTGAACCTTTCCCTTCCACACTCACATAGAAGCACATAACTTGCCACATGGTTTATGAGATCTCACAGTACTAGTATCCGAAAAAATAAGTGACAAAATCCATCTTGAACTTCCCTCCTTTTCTTATTAGCGCCATATATGTACTAGCATAAAGCTGGAAAAGAGTGTTGAATCTAACCTGGCTATCCTGTAAGAATATTTTCTTTAACTTGAGCTTTGTCTTCTCTGATAAGATTTAGGAGCTTCGTTTGACTGGTTTTGATTGAACAATGTGCTGCAGCAACATTGACTCATGCTGGTTATCAATGTGTTTTTAGTTAATATCAGTTATCAGGACAGATTTTGACGTTATTCTTCAATTATTCGAAATACACTTTGATTCTCAAATAGGAAAAAAAGAAAAGGAAAAGGGCTTTTATGTAATGTAACTCCTTGGCTTAGTTAAATTCTTATGTCTTCTTTCATTGTAAAAAAAGTTAACTAGAAGAACAAGCTATGAACAATTAACTGTTGTTAACTTTGCCCTCTAGCTTTGAGATTGACCCTCTGTGGCTTCTTCTGGCTGCAGATCTTTTGAATGTGTTTGAGGTTTTTCTTCCACAGCTACTGCTCTACCCAAACCCTGGGGACCCACTAAATGCTGACGCAGCTGCACTTATGATGAATGATAAAAAGCAGTACGAAGAAAAGGTAAAAGGTAAGAACTGTTTGATAGTTTTTTTCCCCTTGCCTTTTACTTGATGACAATCAACTGCTTTAAGAAAACAAAGATCCGATTATAACCAATTTACCGTACTTTCGATCTGTCTAGAGAATTCATGATCCTAAAAACTTAATGCTGCTTTGTTTACTGGGATGACAGAGTACTGTGAACGATATGCAAAGAAGTCGAACACCATTAAAGCTCCAAACGAGGAGAGTGACGATGAAGAGATAAGCGAGGATGAAGATAGTGACAGGCACAGCACATTTAGTGAAGACAATGTTGCTGGTGATGCTGATCCCTGAATCGATGTAGCAAATCTATTGCATATTCTTCCCAGTGATCATATCACGTTAGTATCTTCTTTATACCCGAATACTCAATTATTCATTCGAAATTGCATGTAGATTGGTTGAAGGATTGAAGGAGAAGAGTGTAACATCAGGGTTACCATTGTGTTTCAAGGGAATATGATAATTTACCAGGCACTGTGATGTACTGGGGATTAAGAAGGACAACAAAAATCACAATAAATGGGGAAAACTTGTGTTTCTGTACTGTGGTCTAGAATCCAAAATCATGGGGAAAACTTGTATGCTTTGGTGCATTGATAATAACATGCCCTAGAGTCCTTCCCAGGTAGGTTGTTATTTACTGCTCTGCAAACTTAGGCTTGAACCGATCTGTTTGGGTTTACAATCACTAAATGGCATGAAATAAAATGTAAGGGAAGGACCAACCTTTCAGAATCATGATATCCATTTGGAGTTCTGGTACATCGCTATCACAGTAACTGTCCTGCCTGTTATCGTTGGGTAGACAGGAGATGGTGCAGGCTCCATATGTAACTCATTCAATACAAGGTTATAGAGCCTTGGGGTAATACAACTGGATGACATTTGTAGCTTGTGAACTTAGTTAGGGTAGGTATGGTCTTGTTTGGTTTAGAATTCGAATCGATACTGAAGGGATGTTAGGACCAGAGATAAACCAAATCCAGTCAGTTCTCGATTCGGTGTATATGGTTTTGGCGAATAACTTTTTAAAATTTGATTATTGAAGCTGAACCATATAGAATTATGCATCGTGCCATTCTGTCTGAATATTAAACATGATCATCTCTTGATAGTAGAACAGGAGATGTTCGGTTGGCTGGTTGGTAAATGGGTCGTGGAGAAGATGAATTGTCTGTCTATAACCTATCAACCGCCTAACTGCATTCTCTACGAATGACTTAAAGAAACAATCTACATTCATCAACTATGCGCACCCAAATCATATTGATCAAGTTCTAATCGAGTTGATTGAGGTGATTAGCCGGTTATACCGCACATACCCATCCCATGATGCTGCCACAGGGAGCTGCCAGACACCCTGCGGATGCTTATTTTGTTTTTGTTCTTGCACCATTTCATTTCCACGCACTGTTTTCTGCCAACACAGAAAGCAACCGTTTGAATGATTACCCGGACAATTGGCAGCCTCTGTAAAATAATTGCTCCGGCGATGGTGAAAGCTTAGTTATTCGGAATGTTGCTCTACCCCCCACATTTCAATATCACACAAAGATTAAAGAAACATAAACAAAGAAACCAAAGTTGTAGCTCTCTTGGCACAATAAAACTCAGCTGTTAGCCTGTTACAATCAAACTCTGACTCATGTATAACGACTTGGCCAGTCGCTAACTTTCAGCCGGCTCCTTGTTTCTTCCCTGTCCTTACCCGAGTGTCTTGGTCTCTTCCACCGGCTCTCAGCACTCAGCAGCTGACATTGGAATTGCCCTCACTCTGCCTTCCCCTTCGAATCATTCCCTTGAAACAGAGCATCCCCCTCAAAGCTATATTGAGGAACTTTACCGGTTCTGGAAATCACAGGAAAAAAAATCTCAGGTTGTCTGCAGAACTATGAGTCAAGTACCCATCTGGTGGGCACTTGTCATTTCCCTCCTCCTCTCCGTCCTCCACCGCCCGGCTGATTCCGCAGGTGTGGAGGATGGAGTCAAGAACTCCCTCATCACCTTCCTCGCCCATCTGAACGGAACCAAACCCAGTTGGGTTCCTACAACCGATCCTTGCCTGAATTCCTGGCCGGGGATCTCCTGCGACGCTGCGAACAGCTCTGTCACAAGAATTCAACTTTCAGGATTCAACCTGTCAGGAGAATTCGATCCTGCTTCCGTTTGTGTGAACCCATTATTGGCTTCATCTCTCACCGTCATCAACCTCCAAAGGAACCAAATCTCCGGCGAGCTCTCACCGGCGATCTCAAACTGCACCAATCTGACTCACTTGTTCATAGGGAAGAACAAATTCACCGGAAACATTCCGGAATCCATCACCGGCCTGAAGAATCTCAAGAAACTCGACCTCTCCCACAATGATTTCTCGGGCGAGCTGCCGGACTTCACCGGCCTTCCTGAGCTCGTGATGTTCACCGCGCAGGGGAATCACTTCACGGGTCCAGTCCCGAGATTCGACTTTCTCAAATTGCAGAAACTCGACCTCTCCCACAACAAATTCACCGGCGAGATTCCTGACCTCTATGGTAAATTCGACCAGGGCAGCTTTTCTGACAACCCTGACCTCTGCGGGCCACCTTCACCAAACCCTTGCTCATCATCATCTTCTTCTTCGGCCGTCATGAACTCCCAAAACGAAACTTCGAACAACAACGACGGCAAGAAGTCGAAAACCCGAGCCAGGGATCAGATTCTGATGTACTCTGGCTACACCATCATCGGGCTGGGAGTCATCGGGTTCATCGTTTTCAAACTCTGCAGAAGAAAGAGCAACGCCGGAGGTAGTACTAAAAAGAAGGGTGACTTGGAAGCCAGAGTGGCTTCAGTGGACGACGATAGCTTCATGAGCAAGGCGAGTTCTGTTAGCTACGCGAAAACAGGGGAGAGCTTCTCGGAAATTTCGGGGGTAACGGAAGAAAGTGCGATGACTTCTTCTTCGCTTGTACTGCTGACGAGTCCTTTATCGGGGCACGGCGGCGGCGGGGGTTTGAATTTCGAGGAGTTGCTGAAGGCTCCGGCAGAGCTTCTGGGAAGGGGGAAGCACGGGAGCTTGTATAAGGTGAATTTGAGCGGCGGGATGACGGTGGTGGTGAAGAGGATTAAGGATTGGCCGATTCAGACGGCGGAGTTTAAGACGAGGATGCAGAGGATACACCAGGCTAGCCATCCGAATGTGCTCCCTGCTCTGGCGTTTTACAGTTCCAAGCATGAGAAGCTGCTGGTTTATGGGTACCAGGAGAATGGCAGTCTCTTCAGATATCTCCATGGTAAGGCCTTCCTTCTTCTAAGTTCTATATCCCGCCATTGTTAAGGCTGTGTTTCTTGCACCCCTTTACTGGTGTTGCCGGTTTCCATGGTTCCCTTCGGTTCGGTTCGGTGCGGAATCAGACCAAATTAGTATACGATTGAATCAAAATAAAGAGAAAAATTATATATGGAATTATATTAATATCGCACTACAAATAACTGATTTACGCTCATTGTTGTTCGATTCCGTGTAACTCATACACTTTTCGTAGATTTGAAATTTTGATATTGAATAGTAACGCTCAATATAGTAGATGGATAACAAGTAATTTGTTTAATCCTAAAACATGAAGAAATAACTATTACAAGCATATATTAAATCATTTTCTCTCAAATCAATAAAGCAAATGTGAAACAATTTTAATGAGATGACATCTATATAGTAGTTTGCACGACTCGTAATAATATAAAATTTCGTACAAACTACTAAAATGCATGTTTCTCAATTCATATCGTATTAGCGGTATGATTGGAAAAACTTCTATTGATATATATATATATATATATATATATTTCTAGTTTAATGAAATGGTTAATTAAACCACATGTAACACAAAATAACAGCACAAAATATATTAATACTGACTTTTCATATACAACTTCTAGTAGAATTTTAGATGTTTCAGCTTTGAATTTTACTATTTATTTGTTATTCAATTACTTTCCTAGCTCAAACAAACACACCCATCTATGGTTTCTGCAGGAACAAAGATGGGACAGTCATTCGACTGGCCAAGCCGGCTGAGCGTGGCATCCACCGTGGCACGAGCCCTAGCCTCCATGCACAAGAAGCTCTACGACGACGGCATCAGCCACGGCAACCTCAAATCCTCCAACATCCTCCTCAACCAAAACCTCGAGGCCTGCGTCAGCGAGTACGGCCTGCTCCCGGTCCCCGCCGACACTGATCTCCACGACGACGATGTCGACGACTCGTCCTCAGAGGGCAACAGCTTCAGCTTCAGCGAGGTGAGGTCCAAGTCCAAGCCCAAGAAGAACCCGGCCCACGCGGCGGACGCGTTTCGATCCGACGTGTACGGGTACGGCGTCGTCCTGCTGGAGATGCTGACGGGGAAGACGGTCCAGAACAACGGCGTCAGCCTGCCGACGTGGGTCCACTCGGTGGTTCGGGAGGAGTGGACCGTCGAGGTTTTCGACAAGCACCTGATATCGGAAGGCGCGAGCGAGGAGAGGATGGTCAACGTGCTGCAGGTGGCGATCAAGTGCGTCAACCCGTCGGCGTACGAGAGGCCGGCGATGAGCCAGGTCGCGGTCATGGTGGATGCGATCAGGGAAGACGACGAGAGATCGTCTTCGTCGCCGGGTTACTGAGATTGGTCGGGCTTAGGGAAGAACCGGTTTGGGTGTAGGGGTTAGCTGGTTTGGGTTGGTTTGTTATTAATATGTGTGAGTGCCAGGGCCGTCCCATGATATTCGGAGGCCCTGTTCGAAAATTTAAAATGTGGCCCTAAAATTTTTCTCCACAAATTTATTAAAAATAAAATTTATTAAATAATTATAAAAAAATACATAGTCTCAGAAAATGATTACAAAAGAAATAAATGATCACCTTTCTAGTTTGACGAAGAAACCAAAACCAAATTCCCAGGGCTGTCTAATGCTTCGTGGGGGCCTTGTTCCAAAATTGAGACGTGGTCTAAATTGACTTTTAACTATAATAAAACTAAAATGACTGTAATATCTTTCTACATAGCTTAAAATAAAATTAGGGTAATGTTTATTTTTTATCCAAACCTTTTTCAGATTCTTTTATATTATCCAAACCTATTAAAAATTTATTAATTAGCCAAATTTTTCATAATGCACCAAAATATTAGTCATTTTTACGTTATTGTTAATAATTCTGTAACTCTTTTCTTAGTTAAAATACTAAAATTTTGGAATCTTGACCTTCATGTGTCTCTTCCAAGTCAGTATCATGTTGTCAAGTCAATATTACTAACAAAAATGCTAACCGAAAGTTAACATTGGGCTAATTTTTAGTATTTCGATAGGTTTGGATATTATAAAAGAATCTGAAAAAGGTCTGGATAAAAAATAGACGTTACCCATAAAATTATCTATTATCTTTCTTATTTTCGTAGTCTTCATGATATCATTTTTAATTGTTATTATAGCTAAAATTATCTATTAAAATCGTCATCATACTCATAATCAATCAATCATATACTAAAAATATAATCTACAATGTACGATCGGTAACTAACGGATCTAAGTGGAGGCCCCTAATATTCGGAGGCCCTGTGCCGGCGGGCGGGCCAGCACACCCTCTAGGCCGGCCCTGGTGAGTGCACCATTAGTTTGTTCATTTCTCGATTAGTTTGTAGAGCAAGCAATGTCTCGGCCGACTAATTGTGTATTATTTGGATT